TTTGCCAACCTCATCTCAGATGAGAAAGAAGGATTTTAAGCTAATCCCTATGCTTTTTTTTGGAGAACAAATACTCTGTGGACCGTATTGTTCTAGTACTCCTGAGCATTCTCATAAACAGCTTTTGTTTTTGAGTATTCGAAAGGTTTTTCTGCCATAGTGACCCAAATTTGGCGACATTCTCGCTCTGCATAGAAAACTTGAATTCCGTTAGTCTTGTTTTGAAACTCGTACAGTATAAAAGCTTGAACTTGATTTCAAAGGCCATCTCCTACTCCTAGAGCTTGTCTTAGATTAATGTTTAGCTCCTCTGGCTTACATCTTGGCACTGTTGCTGGTTCCTTTGCGAGGGCAAAACGTCGGCTCACACTCCGTGTCAGGTAACAAGCTTTGCTGCGATCACCCAATCATTCCTACCGGGTGATCTTAGCCTCTTAGGTGAGAGCTGTGCAGGAACATCATAACACTCTAGGATAAAAGGGAAAGGGTCTTTGTTTCTTGAGGTGTGTTGCACTTTTTCCCAGAAATTGATAACACATTCGTTCATCGCGGATATTCTGAGCGTAGAATCTGACAGCAAAATCTAAAATCAAGTCTCTGAGTTGCTTTCTTAAAGCAGTCAGTGGAGGACTTCCCGCAGGGTTTCAAAGCACTCATCAGCAGACCGTCAAGCCCTCAACACTCTCTCGTCTCACATTGCCAAAACTGCTTCTAAAGAATCTTCCAAACCCCTAATGTAAGAAGTGGAGGATCATGATTATTCGACACCCAAACTGGAGCATCCCGTCCTCGGAACCCTCCAGAAATTGCCTTCAAATGGAGTCCTTTCCTCTATCTCCAGTTGCTATTGGCAATTTTCGGCGCCTGTCAACCACTCAACAGAAGCGCAACATCTTTGGATTTGTCACTTTTTCGCATTCTTCAACGTGTGCTGCTTTTTTCAATCTTCTCAGACACCAACTCTCGTGTTTCAAATTTCAACACTTTGCACCCCAGCATATCAGGGCCCTAGCTATAACCTTATATAGGCCTGACGAGACTGACAATTAATCGACCTGGTAAAGCCTTTTGAACCGTTATACCAAACCTCCACCTTTGACTTAATCGCCACCCTCTAATTTACCCACAACTTGGGAGCAATTGCAATCAGCATTTCGACTTTTCTGAGGTATTCTTTCTTTAGCTGGTGTGATGGTGAAGCGAGGGAAGCAAGCGGCCCGGACATCCTGACAAATTGAATCCAATTTGCCCTCCAAAAGTTCCTCTGCACGACTGAAGCATCCATTGATCCATCCTTCTTGAGCGAGTCACAAACAGTTGCCTTGCTAGGGTGTACAAATACACAACCATAGTTGTATGGAGTCAGACACCGAGTTGGTTTCGAGTCTTGCGCACCCATCGCAACCACACTCATAAGTGAATATCCATTGCCATTTGGATTGTCTGCGGCGGCAAGTTCACTTCTAGCAGCAGAGGACACCAAGTTAATCCGATGCATCCAAGTCCTCACCTTCACGAAGCGCCAAGGTTACGTTGGTGCGGGAGATGTCGGTGAACTAGTCAGCCGCATTGTATTGTCACGGGCTATGCAAGAAACGATAAAGAATCCGCAAGCACCTTGGAAGATGCCGGTGAACTAGTCAGCCGAATGTATCTTATTACGGGCGATGCACGAAACCATGAAGAAGACGCAAGTCGCAATCACCTCTGAGGATGTCGGGGAACTAGTCAGCCGTATTAACTTATTACGGGCGATGCAAGAAACGATGAAGAAGACACGTCCATCTTCGACTATGTCGGTGAACTAGTCGGCCGGATTTATCTTTTTACGCGCCATGCATGAAGGAGACGCAACCACCTTCGAGGATGTCGGCGAACTAGTCAGGCGTATTATCTTGTTGCGACTCGCGAGCAATGCCGAAAACCAAGAATTACCCTTGGTAAACAACGGACGAGTGTAATGGAATCGATTAATTTCCATCGATCATCCACCGGGACTCCAGCGGATTGGTGGACAACAATACATCATATCGAGGATTGGCGATCCATTGCAAAACCAATCGGCACATATTACTTGATCAAGCACTTACGATTTACCTACACTTTTATAGGCCAACGGCCACTCTAGATGTGAAGAGTATTATATCACTATAATTCAGGCTAAGTCTGACCGACTCAGATTGAAGTCAAGAAATGTAATGTTCTTCTCGTCTAGAGTGGCCGTTGCCTCAAAGTGTAGACTCTGAGAGGCCCGTCAGAACAGAAAAAAAACCTTATGCCGAATAGTAATGGTGAACTTTCGACATGAAAATCACGGCGACGGGCGTCTTTAACATTCCATAGTTTGAACGACTTTCCTTTAATACTCCAGGTGTCACTTGCTGCTTCGGAAGACTAGATGAATCCTCACTCGAACATTTTATCACTTCATAAATAAGTATTCTCAAGCGAGAATATGTCCGAAGACGGTGCCTTGACTACAGATGCTTATGAACCAGATGATTTTATCGCTGCTCGTGACCACATCAAGATTTTACCCAACTCTATCTATTCAGCCTCCAAAGCCATATGCTGAGCTGCCCTTGAAGGCGGTTTGAGAATCAGCGAGGTTCCCAATTTGCACGATCTCTTGGTCGAAAGCCCGGCTAGCGACACGTTAGACAGAACCCAGGAAGTACACATTCTACTCGAAATATTGACTGCCATTCAGCTTCAGGAGCGAGTCATCAAGGACAGTCCCTCGGAAAAGGGTCATCTAGAATAGCTTTTCGATAGAATCGATCGGTTAGAACGCCGACCAAACATAGTCCTGACCCACTTCCTCCCACAAGTTGGAAATCTGTCGCCACAAGCAAAGCAAACGACCCGTTTCGGGGCATAAAAACACATTTTCCCCAATACATACCATCTGACAAGCAGATAAACGAGCTCAAAACGGCTAGCCTAGTGAGTAATTGATACGGACTCCACCAGGCTTCTCTGCACTATACCCTGTGCCGACCTCAGATATCACAGGACAGATCAACAGTTGACTTACAACCAGTCGATGTTGCAGGAGTCGCACCCCTTCCTTCGAAAGATTTAAAAATTCAGGCCTCAACTAGTAGGCCTGGGGCCCAATGGCTCCTTGTTATTTACAAGTACCAATTTCAGACTGACCTACTATGCTCTGACCTCAAGGCGCTTCCGACACGATTCTACATTCTCTTACACGCCGTTCTCATTGATTGTGATCCGAACAACTTGACCATCTAACACTCTTAGTCACTCAAAACTGCATCGAAGCCAAACTATTACAATCAGTCCGATGGTTTACCGACGTAATTGAAAAAACAACGCGGATCTCTAGTCGTTCACCTCCTTGAAAAGAACGTAGCCCTCAAGATTGAACGTTCAAAACGCTCTATCGAGGGTCTTGCTTTGTCCGATCTCGGCTTCAATGTGTTTGCTGTTGGAAAAACGGACACACTGCTCAAGTCGTGTAAACATTCTCTGTATATGCAGCAAGTGTGAAGGCGCACATGAATCTAACACCCTCAGTGTGCCATCTAACTAATCTCCGAGTCAAAATGATGTGTTTGCATTAGTCGTGAAGAAGGATCAACCGATCAATCAGTCGATTGATTAGAAGAAAAATATGTCCTTCCCCCAGGCCCAAAGACTGCCCGAAAACAGTGCACATTTCAAAGGATCGAAAACGACGCCGCTGGAAGACTTGACTATTTTCTTCTCCTAGCTCTATTCCTCTGACAAATTCTCAATGTCAACTTGACTTTGGCCGTCAATCGGCCAGATGATCACATCCCACAACTCTGTTTTTGTTTCCGTCAATGTGTGTTGTTACCCGAGAGCAAGATAGGAAATACCCATGTATGACATTGCTCGTGCGCGTCCCCCTCTTCTAGCCTCTGATTCTCCAGATTTGCACCCACAACGATTATACTAAACCTTTATTATGTTCATACACTATGATATAGAAAACAAGTGCGCGATGTGAAATCTAAACTGCACGTTGTATAATTTGTACATTAGTCATCGTAGTCAACCTAACCTGCTTTTAAGAAAAAAAAAGCATGACACATCTGTACAAATCGCAGCATGGAGAAAGAAGAACACTGCGAATGCTGGTTTATTTGGCGTGGGCTTTGTTGGATTGGCTGAAGAAATGCTGGGCTGCGGGGTAAAAAAATGTAGTATGAAGAGTGCCGGAGGAAAGTATAGTGCAAAGCTCACGTGGTTGACCCAAGTCGCTCGATCGGAGGCTTCGGAGGGCCTGGGCTAGGCAGGCGCGAAACGCCTTTCGCGAAGCGAGCCTCCGAACAGAGGCTTGCTTCGATTTAGGGAGGACTGAGATCGAAAGGTTGATTGAAAAAATAAGAACATGAAAAAATGTTCATTAAGCATTACATTTATTTGCAAGCGCAATGATAGGAAAACGATCATGGCCACCCCAAATAGTACCTTCATCCGAAAAAAATTTGTCCATCTTGTTGATTAGTACCACCCGATCCTTTCTTTTCGCTCTAGAGGGATTCTCGCGAGTTTAAAGAACCGCGACTTGTCTAATGGAGAAATTAGTGCCCCTCGAAACAAGGCAAAGACGATGCGAGTTGAAAGATCAGACACACAAGCCTGACTCCCTCGTGACTGTCTTTTGTTAATTGGTACCAAAATGAAAACATAATCATCTAATGTGATTTCTTTTCATCTACCGCATTGGGACTAGTACAGTGATAAGACTGGATCGTGATGAGACTGACTTCGGCTAACCGAGAACGTTCCTTTTTTCATCCTTCGACCGTCCCAAGAAGTAGGCGCCGAGCACCGTCAAGGACCCACAGGACATCTGCCTCATTGCCTCGGCTATGAGCACTCATGACAATCAGCAGCCATCGGGAGAGACTCGTGTCCCCTAGATGCGCTAGGCATTGAGAATGTACGCGGATCTAATCAGTGTCCGGCCAAGCATCGAGAGCCCTCATGAAAGGAGAATGAGATCACTCGTATTTAACCAGGTCTGGGAGGTGCTACTTGTAGTCACCTCGCACTTTCAATCCAAGATACAACTTGAATCCGTCCTCGATCCAATCAAGCCACCCCGTCTAACTTATCAAACGACTTTTTAAAACTCTTCGAATCTTCGGATTTTTCAACTAGAAACAAGAAAATCAAAATGCAAGTCAGCTTACTTGCCGCCCTCCTCGTTGCTACCAGCGGTATGTTGTGGTTTTGCGATATCAATTTAGCAAGACTTGCTCGATCCGCATCTGCCGAAACTGATAATCATGATGAATCCCTCTCTTGCACTCAGGTTTATTTGCCGTGTCCTCTGTAGCTGGACAACGCCACTCCAGCGATTATGGATCTCCAAACTATGACTCCGATTCATATGACCCACCAGAATCTTACTCGCCACCAGAGTCTTACTCGCCACCAGAATCTTACTCCTCACCTCAACATAAATCATACGGTGGCAGGCCTTCGCGCCCCCCAAGTCAACAATATCCCCCACCTGCTTACCATCCTTCACCCAGCTACCCACCTCCTGGGCGTCCCGGACAAGGGCCTCGTCAGTTCCCATTTTCATCTGAGATCCTGTAAAGCCCCAGTTTCTGACTGTTTCTTTTTCTTAGCTTTTGGTGGCATGGCGCCCGGACTTGGTGGTATTGCTCCTGGAATTGGCGGGATTGCACCCGGACTTGGCGGGATTGCGCCCGGACTTGGCGGGATTGCGCCCGGACTTGGCGGGATTGCGCCCGGACTTGGCGGGATGGGAAATGGGTTTGGCGTTGTTCCTGGATTTGGCGGTGGATTAGCTGGTCCATACGGTATGCTCCCCGGCTTTGGTGCGGGCGTTGGAGCGAACGTTGGAGCCGGTGTGGGCGCGGGCGGACCCGGAGGCTTCGGCGGACCCGGAGTAGGTGTAGGGGCGAATGCCGGCGTTGGGGCAGGCGTTGGAGGTCCTCTCGGAGCAGGGGTAGGAGCAGGCGCCCATGCTGGTGTGGGGGCAGGCGTTGGAGGCCCTCTCGGAGCAGGGGTAGGAGCAGGCGCTCATGCTGGCGTGGGGGCAGGCGCAGGAGTCGGAGGTCCCGTTCGAGTTCCTGTCGGCGTCGGGGCTGGGGCTGGAGTTCATGCCGGAGCCGGTATCTAGTTGCAGTCACAACTTCAAGCCAAAATTGTGAATCAACCTTTCTATTGCACTACACATTTTTTCTTTCACAAAACACCTCGCGGTTTCTCGCCATAACCAGAGCAATTTAAGCGCTTTTTGCAACATCTGTACATCTATACATCTTTCCCTGCGTTGCTAGCATGAAATGTGAACACATCGCTTGAGACATGTTGGCAGCGAGTCCCACAGTGAGCTTCACCTTGTTTAGCAGGGATTGGTGACCCTTCTTGGACAGGAGTAAATTGAGTGCAACTCGGCCCGAAAAGCTCACTACAGCTTCCCCTTGCCAGAATCCTGAACCCCGATCCCTAGCACCCAAATAATCTGTATTCTGTTACTCCACATGGCCTTTGTCCAGTGGACCTGTGCCATCAAGTCCAAAAACATAAAATCAGACATCCGATCTGACTAAGTAGCATAACAGACCATAAGCTCCAATTGAACTGCTGTCTTGGCAGATCCAGGCAGTTAGCTATGGTAGAACTGAAAAAAGGCTTAGAATTACATGCAGGGCGATGAGCAACGGTGGGCCAGCTACGCTAACCGTAGCGTAGTGTAGCGATTTTTCGCTACAATTTAGCGTAGCGTTAGCACTTTTTTCATTTTTTGCGCTAACGCTACGCGCATGGGGCGAAACCTTGCACTAACTTATTCCCCCCATCTGCGCTAACGCTACACGCACAGGCCGCCAAAAACTGCCCGCTACGCTGCGCTACAGCGATTTTTAGCGGTTTTGAGGTGTTTTTTGCCGCTAAAAACGCTGTAGCGTAGACGCAGCGTAGCGGCGCCAGCGGCGCGCTAACACTACACCAAAAAATGGCTAGTGTTAGCGCCGCTACAAATTAGTGTAGCGCAGCGGCCGTAGCGGCGCGCTAACACTACGAGAAAAAAAAAATCGGCGCCGCTACACTAACGCTACATGGGCCCTTAGCGTAGTGTAGCGTAGCGGCCCACCGCTGCGATGAGCTGCCAAATGAAGAAAAACTAACCATACATATTTGAATCCTGGAGAAAAAGGAAAAGTTGCCGGGAATTGGGCTTGTTAGTTGAAAGATTATCTAGAATCACTCCACTTTATAAATTTAAAACTTCATTAGATTTGTGATCAAAATTGAAAATAGGTATGAGCAGAATGGTTATGTGTTTGGCAATCTTGAGACTTTTTGCTAGGTCTATGTGTGTTCATGAAGAGCCAGAATGAGGAGAGTGTCAAAAGATTTGGTTACTATGAAAGAAAACAATTCTTGGAGACACAAAAACAGAAGCTTTTAATAAGAATGATATGCACTAGAATAATAGTGTAAACATGGTATTTGTTCTGCAAAGAAATGGGTAAAGTATTTAGATCCTTCTTCCTGATTTGATGTGAGGTTGAGAAACTTACATATCAACATGAAATGGAATTTAAAGCTTCCAAAACTAAAGGTTCAGCTAAAGTAGAAGCTTGAAGGTCAAACTTAATTAAATTCCCCTCTTGGAAACAAAGGAGGGGGGGGGGGTGCACCCCAGAGGGGGCTTGTGAAGGGTGACAGTCTGAGGTACTCTTAGTAAAATAAATCTAAGAATGCTGCATTTGAAAAAACATTGAAGGGTGAGCCTGGCCTGAAGTTGAGCCATTACATGTATGAAATACCTGCTTTGATTGATCCACCTGTAAGGAAAAGGAGAAAATCAGGAACTACAGACTAGCAAAAGAATTCCAAAACTTAAGCAAAGAGACACAAAATGGGGTCACATTTCCTAATAGGGTTATTGTAAGTGTTTGAGAGGATGGTTTTTGGCACAAGGTATTTCTAAAAAATTCTTCAGAAGTATTGAATTGCAATGGATTGTAATCACAAGAAAATGTACAATAACTTTGAAAGAAGGAAAAGAAAAACCTCCTGGTGAAAAAAAAAGAACGTGCTTTCATAATCTACAGGCAGAACAGAAAAAAAATTAAATCAAAGTAGAGAGATTCCAAGTTACAAGGGAAATGAGAGAAGAAGAATTTGAGAATGTTCCAATCCATCTAAAAAGCAATTGGTATCTATCAGATAATAAAACTGGAATCCTTATAAATTTCTTCCAAGATGGATTCAGAGCTATTTGAAATATTCCAGAGAGCTTGAATTTCCTGTATATTTTGAAAGAAGAAAGATTTCAGAAGGATTTGGTTCTTTTCAGTGTTTTCACACCACCCTTGTCTATTTCAACAGTTTGGTAAGCAGGATGTACAGAGTATTTGTAGAAATACAAGCTCAGGAACTCTGCATCTGGCCAACTCACAAAGTGAGGAAGGAGCTGGAATCTATGTTAGCTGCAGAGCAAGATATGCATACCAAGCCCATGGTCCCAAGTCCCAAGTGAAAATGCTAATCAAATTTGATTTACACAGATTCAACAGCTGCAATCTCCAAAACTCAAATTGGAAAAACATCAAATTAGTCAGTTTACTGAAGGGAGTACTGGAAAACACTGCTGGTGAGTACCTAGAGAATCATCAGTAGAGAATGAGAAAACTAATTCACAATGATGTTGTTAGATTTCTTAGAGTAACAAAAGGAGCAAAACAAAGAACTTAATCAATTCAATCCAGAGTGAGAAGAAGGTGGTAACAAGGGTAGGCGGCTTATATGCTACACTAAATGCTTTGCCCAAAAAGCATTAGCACAGCAGTGCTTTTTTTGCACAGAAATCATTTAGTGTTAGTGCAATGTCAGCGGATTTTTGCTGTTGAGATGAACACCCTGGAGACCAGATTATTGGAAAGGATCAATTTAATTTCAACACAGAGAAAAAGAGAGAAAGACATACCTGGAGACAAGTGTTGGAAAGGATGAGGAAAAAGATATCCTTTCATGCACTGATGACTCCAGTATAAGAACTAAGAAAAAAAAGCTGAATGTCACAGAGTGTGACACGTGAGAAATGAACTCTGAAGAAAGCACACTAACAACTGTAGACATGAAAACAAGTAGTAACATGTCACAGGTATCTCAGCATTTGCTCTGCTACAAGCCACTCACAAATGCTACATAGCCAAAACCTGGCTAACCAGCTTTTCAGCACAGCATAGTGGGCCCTATATTGGGGCCTGAATGTGTAGTGCTAAATTATGCCACACAAAACTATTTTTCAGTGGAATCCTGCAAGCTGTTCTAATACTGAGGTTAGCATAACCAGCCCATTGCTGGGGGTAAGCTAGGATAGAGAAATCCAAAGAGAAAGAAGACACAGAGGCTGCTAGCTCATGATAATCAATATTAGGAATCTGTTTACTTCTTCCGATCTTGCAAGCATCGACTGTGGATCTAATGAAAGTGCTGTGGAATTCAGGAAGCCCGGCAATTTGCTCATCATCTTTCTCTCTCAGATATATTACAAAACATCTACAGAAATTCTTGCATCTTTCTTTGTCCAAATAGAAGTCTGGCCTAAATTCCTGCTCTTAGAGGTACATCTCATGTGTTCTTCAATTTCTTATTTGTCAAGCTACAGATTATAGGATTCGAATGTAAATCATGAAATCTGGGATCTTTGAATTCTTTGAGGATTGGATGACTGGAGGACTTGCCTTTGGGCTCGGATACCATTAAATTGAGCCTTCCTAAAGACGGTGGTGGGAAGTTACTTTACTTGACGATATCTGACAGAGTTTAGTGAAGTAAATAACTGTCATTACTGTGCCCACTGTTATCCACAATTCCATTGCAGTAACATGCCTCAAGCTGACCTCACCTGCAACATAACAGACCTTCTTTTTCTTTTGAAGCCGTTGTTATTTAATCAACATGTTATCCCCTGGATACTACAATAATGAGCAACAAAGGGAAAAAAAAACAGCCCTAAACAGGCCCTCTACTGCTCTTGATCTCACTCCATATCTGCAGCTCCAGGCTCAGATGTCGTGACAACAAGTTTTCAAGAACTGTTTGCTCATGTTGCAATCTTGAGAATCCCACCAACATTATAACCCTAGTAGTAGCACTGACAATGAGAAGGAAACTGTTGCAATATCGACCCTTGACTTTGGTATAGGTAGAGTGACTATTGCCATTGTTACTACTACAGTACAGACAAATAGATTCCAGATCATGTTGTTTGGTCAATATGTATATAAGCTCTCAATCTTGCTCTTGCAAGATCCTCATTTCAAATGGTGTTTGAGAGTGAGATTGAGGATGAGAGCTGGGAGATAAGACCGTCAATCTGGAGGACAGGGCTGCAATAACCCAAGAGACAGGATGGAGCAAAAGCCTCTCTTGCAAACCCGTTATAGTCCTCTAGACTCAATCTTTTGAGATGGAAACACAGATCTCATGACTGTCAGTGGCTGTATAATCCGGCAAGCTTGCAGGGGGTGTGCATGTTGAAGCACACTTGGAAAAGCCACATAGCCAAGCTTGAGGGCGGACAAATTCCTCCTGCCTGGCCAATCCTTGAGACAATCTTCCATCCACACTCACCAATACCAATCCACCCCATTAGTCGGGACTTGAGTCGATCAATCACTTAGTTTTTTTTTAGGTCTGATCAGTGTCTGGAAACAATCGGCCAGCTACAATACCAAATTGCATCATATTTTGGCGTGCTGTAGTCTAGCACAGTTATGCCATCATCTAACATCCCACAGTGGAATTCCATTAGCACATGTAGCATAGTCCAGTGTGATTCTGCCAGCTCTGAAATGCTAATGTTACATGTCCAAGCTACTAAAAAAAGGGGCTGCATTGTGGTAGTGCGAGACAGTGTGTGATATCTGGTGTTTCACCCTTTTCTTGCTGCTCAAACTGACAGTGTCAGTACACACATTCATCTCCTTCCCCTAGAAAGGAAAAACACATCTGTGTTTTCTTCTTTTGAATAATGATTTGATTTTGTGATGAAAAAAAAGCAGCAGCAACAGCAGTTCCACCAAATTGTTGGATGAGGTAATGAAAAGTAAATAAAAAAGAAGAAGATTATTTACATTGTGATATATATATATATGTATCTTGATGAGTGAGATGAAAGAAAATGTAGGAAGAGAGAAAGAGAAAGAGGTAGTAGGAGTATGCACTAGGCTGTGGATGAAGATCATAAAGATGAATTGAAAAAAAAGGAGAAAGAGAATGAGTGTATGTATGGATGTTAGAGTTTCTTCTTTTTGAAGAAGAGGAGGAAGAGGAGAAGACAGCCGAAACTACCGAGAAATTTTTTCCTTTGAAAGTTAAGCAGAAGGAAGAGTTGATTGAGGGAGAGCTGATTGGGGAGACAAAAGAAGAACCGATGGCGAATGGGAACGGGCCTAGTCGACTCGCTCAACTGTCCTCCTCCCTCCCCCTCGTTGAATCTGTGCTCCTCAACAGTGGGTAATGATGAGGCTTGATGGGATGATGATCGGTGGTGACCAGACTGGCGATCCGGATATTGGTTCGATAGATGCAGCGGGACAAACAGCTTCGAACTTAACAGCTTCAATAACATCTGTAACGTCCGCAGGAAATACCCAAACTTGATCAATAACTTGATGCAGAAATAGTCTCGTTTGCGTTTCTTGAACTTGACGATTGGTGTGGAGTTCGAACGCTCGATCCGATCCCGATTCCGGTTCCGACCCTCATCATTCTTCTCATCATTCCCATTCTCATCCTCTTGTTGATCGATTTCTCTTCCTGTTTCTGAGAGAGAGGAAGAGGAGGAAGAGGAAGAGGAAGTCAAGGAATGGCCGGAGGTGAGTAAGGGTGGGAGGACGGAGGAATCGCCAGTTTCTCCATGTTGATCATGACGAGTCTTGATCGGGAGTTTGAGTTTAAAGCTAGGGTTTGAGGAGGATTGGTGGAGCCAAGGATGATTAGAAGAAGAAGATTTAGATTGATTACGTTGGAGGGCATCTGAGATGGCGGAGGAGGAGAGTTGGGAGGGATGATAGCTGGTCATGTTGAGCCAGCTAGGTCGACGATGTGAATGATTGAACGTTCCGGCTCGGTTGGGAGTATTTGGATTTGAGAGTTGATGGTGGGGAGTATTGACGGTAGAGAAGAAGATATCGTGGATCGATTCGAGACTGGGATGGCGGGAGAGGGAGGGCCGGGAATCCAAGTCGGCGAGCGTATTGGGGATCGGCTTGCCGAATCGGCTGATGAATGGATCATGTTTTGGGTCGTACTGATGGACGACTAGTCCGCCGTGCTCTTTGAGTAGGTTGGATTTCTCAAAGAATTGGAGTAGTTCGCTTTGAGATGGGAAGAAGATTCGATCGAGTGTGGATTGGCTTAGGATCCGTTTGACGACCTGCCACATCCCCGCATACATCCAGCCATAGTTGAGGATGAAGACTGCACCGAGCATGTCTGGGAAGTTATCTTTGACTAGATGGAGTAGGTAGGGTAACAATTCGACTTCCTGTGTATATTGAGTTAATAGTTAATTTTTTTTTTTTTTTGATTCCATAAAAAAGAAGATATAGAAAGTGACTGACAAGGTTGTTGATCGATGCCCCCTTGAGGTCGACTATGAGACTGATCTGTAGACTGAAAGGTATTTGGTTAGGAGAAGATGGCGGTGATGATGAAGAGCAGATCTGGTTGATGAGTTCTGGGTTGGATTCGTACATCGATCTTCTGGCGAGTTCGCAGTTCCAGGCGATGAATTCTTTGAGACCGTCCAGACTGCCGTCCTCGGTCCTGGTGAGATATTTGAGGTTGAGGATTGCTGAAGTTCTTCCCCAGCGGTCCTTGAGTTGAGGGTGGAAGAAGAGGAGCGGGTTGCTGAGGTAGATGGGTTCGAGTGAGTTGAGTGAGAGCAGGTCGATGTTTGCGGTGAGTCTCCATTTGATTGAGGTTGAGAGTGCTTGGAGAGTGAGCTGGCTGTCGAAGTGGTTTCGGTTGAGGAATCTGAAGAGGTTGAGTTTGTCGTTGAGGAAGTTGGTGATCAGCTGGGCTGAGAGTGGAGTGAGTTCGAGTGCTTGGGTGAGTTGTGGGAGTAGCTGGTTTATGGCTTGGTGGTGGAGTGCTTGGATGGTTGGCTGGTGCTGGCTGAATGCTTGTGAGTAGTGTTGCTGTCGTTTTGAGATTGAGTCGATTGAGGAACTCATCTTCTGGTTGGTTGAGTCTTGTTCTCCTTTCTCCACTACTTGGTGGAAATAGTATCCCCCATGTTGTAGGAGCTCAACATTCATCAAGCTGCTCCAGCCGCAGCAGCCCCCAATCGCAACACTCCCATCGATTTTGTAGTATGGATGGCTTATTATGGTTTTTATTATTATTTAATTCGTTTGAGGATACCTCTCCTCCATGGACAAGATCTTGAGCAGTAAAGGGATGTGACACAGAATAAGAAAGTTGAAGATCATATTGCCAAAAAGCTATAAAATCATCATCTAGTACAACACAATCTGGGACTATCATCTCTAATTAATCACTCAAAAACAACCCCCCCCCCCCGATCATGGAGTAGCCGAGAGTCAACGAGTGGTTGCAAGAAAGAGAAGATTAACCCCCGGTTCTGTTTGCAGATAATACATATTGGAAGCTTCATCACGTTTTTCTTTTTTTTTTTATTATTAACTTGGGATGGCAGAATTGAAGCTCAAGAGGAACAAACCATCAAGCATACAAGTCACTAAGAAATCATGAGAAATCATTATGTATCAGTCTACCGTCATATCATCAGTGGAACTCATCCTCCAGGCTTACTCTTCGTTATCTTGCCCAAATTGGGCCGCCCCACCACCCCCAGCAGCACCACCTTCACCCTCTGGAAACTTGAACGAGCTGCCAAAACTTCGACTCTGTTGCAAGTTGGTCGAAAACATCTCGTCTAGTTCCACAACAACTCAATCATTCAGTAAACAACTCCATCTAGATCTCCAGTAATCATATCATCACTCACATCGTCTGATATCTTGATCCGATACTGATCGTCGAGCGTATTTCATAGCTTCCTCAAAGTGACTGTTGTCAAGGGCCGACCAGGAAAAAAAGAAACCAAACTCAATCTTGGTAAAAAAAAATATTCAATACAAATTTATCCATACGTACGCGGCTGTGATTTCTGGAACTGGATCCTCTTCCGTGTCATCCTCGTCCATAATCGCCTCACCACCTGCGGCCTCCTGTTCTGCCTCCCTTGCCCTCTTCGCCCTCTCCTTCTGCATATCCTTGTCGATACTCTCTCGAATCGCTAGCTTGGCAGCCCGTTGACAGATCTCAGTCAGATCGGCACCAGAGAAACCATGAGTCGATTGAGCTAAGAATCTCAGGTTGATTGATGGTGATAAGGGCGACTTCTTGAGAGCTGCCTTGAGGATTGATTCTCGGGAAGTCTCATCCGGTAGGGGGATATAGATCAGTTGGTCTAAACGTCCAGGTCGTAGAAGCGCAGGGTCGATCTGGTCAGGTCGATTGGTAGCACCAATCACAAACACGTTCTTCTTCGCATTCATCCCGTCCATTTCTGTCAAGATCTGATTCAACACTCGATCTCCCGCACCACCCGCATCACCCGAACTACCTCCACGAGCTTTAGCTATCGAATCCAGTTCATCGAAAAACATCACACATGGAGCAGCAGCTCGTGCCTTGTCAAACACATCTCGAACGTTGGCCTCAGATTCACCAAACCACATCGTAAGGCTGGAAAATGATGGATGAGCTCATGTCAACACCAGTAGACGGATTTATCTGAGAATCATTTACTCACAGCTCAGGTCCCTTGATACTAATGAAGTTAGCCTGACACTCATTGGCGATAGCTTTCGCCAAAAGGGTCTTACCAGTACCTGGGGGTCCATAAAATAGGACTCCCTTGCTGGGTGACATACCGTACTTGAGGAACTTTTCCGGATGCTCGACCGGGTACTGCACGGTTTCTTGCAACTCTTGTTTGACTTTCTCCAAACCACCAATATCGTCCCAGGTGACTGAGGGCACTTCGACAACGGTCTCTCTGAGAGCCGATGGGTTCGATGTACCAAGAGCGAATCGGAAGTTGTCCATGGTAACTCCGAGTGAGTCCAAGACCTCCGCATCAATCGTATCTTCATCGAGATCGATAAGGTCCATCTTTTCTCGGATTTGTTGCATGGCAGCCTCCGAACAAAGTGATGCCACATCCGAACCGACATATCCGTGAGTGTCAGCAGCGATCTTCTCCAAGTCAACGTCATCGCCTAACTTCATGTTTTTCGTGTGGATTCGCAAGATCTCAAGACGACCAGTGGCATCGGGGATACCGATATCTACCTCCCTGTCGAACCTACCAAATCGACGAAGCGCGGGGTCGATAGAATTCGGACGATTTGTGGCAGCCATTACAACGACATTGGATCGAGCCTTAAGGCCATCCATCAAGGTAAGCAGTTGAGAAACTACTCGACGCTCGACTTCTCCGTTGGTCTATGAAAGAGAGAAAGAAAGAAAAGTCATTAAACTGCATGGTGTGCCGATGAGACAAGCTACTTGACTAACCTTCTCTCTCTTGGGAGCAATAGAATCGATTTCATCAATGAAGATGATGGCGGGGGCATTTTTTTCAGCCTCCTCGAATGCCTTCCTCAAATTGCTTTCACTTTCACCGGCCATTTTACTCATGATTTCCGGGCCATTGATCAAAAAGAAAAAGGCACCAGTCTCATTGGCAACGGCTCGGGCCATGAGAGTTTTCCCGGTACCAGGAGGACCAAACATGAGAATACCACGAGGGGGTTTGATACCGATGCTCTTGAATAGCTGAGGGTGTCTTAGTGGGAGCTCAACCAATTCTCGGATTTGGGCCATCTGCTTGCGGCATCCACCGATATCATCATAACCAACCTCGCTGAGATTACCTTCTTCATCCTCACGTTTGATTGGGTCCCCTTCGGTGTGAATGACGGTATCTTGCGCTACGATACAGTACTCGGCTGGGTCAGTCTCGACAACTTTGAATTCAACCGATCGAGATGCCCCACGCGCTAAAAAGGAGTCTCCCTTTCGAACAGGTCGGTAAGCTGATTGACATGAGAAGCCAAATCCAAGTGTACATAGGAAGCATACGTTGTTAGCAAAGTCAACCGGAGAGATAAATTGACCAACAAAAAAACTGACCTTCGAGGAAGTAAGGCTTCAGGAATACCTCAAAGAGGTTCCCAGTGAGACCCTCAACGGAATCATCGAAGGGTAAGACGTGAATACGTTTACCATACTTAATATCGTGGCATGGGTGGACGTTACAAACGTCACCAAGCTTAACTCGAAGGTTGTTTCGGGCAACTGACGTGCAGCAAGCGATCGGGTCTCAGTAATCTGCACGATTGAAGAGTGAGGAGCCATCGAAAACATGAGCTAACCTTTGTTCATTTGGATTTTACCTTCGTCTACGTCATCGCTGCTGAGGACGATCAAGACGGTGTCTTTGCGCTTCTTGCCTCTGACGATGATGGTATCACCTCTGAACAGGGACAATGTTTCCATTGTCGCAGGATTGAGAGTAGCGACTGAATTGTCATCGGAGGTAGCTTCATCGACCTATAGGAGAAGTAATGAGAATGAAAGAGTCTCTTCAAGATCTGCAAAGGATAGTCCCGATCACCGAAAAGAAGAAAAAAAAAAAGAACTCTGCTTACAACCAATCGGTTTGGACTGAATGAAGAGCACAGACGGTCAGGATGTTTGCGATTCCAACTACGATCGTATAGAGATTCACTTACGATTTTTTTGCCCTGAGGATGGCTATCGGTTGGAGAAACAAGCCAGTCAGTGAGATCGCCGGGGGAAGTGGCATCTGAAAAGCCGGAGGTTTCAGTAGGATCTTACCTGTAGCAGGGTCATGGTCGGCTTCGGCCTGGGTTTCTTTCTTGATGGAAGGGTCGTCGGACATGATGGAGGTTTAAGAGGGCGGTAAAAAGGAAGATGAGAGTCAAGGTTTTCTGGGGGAGAGCGCTTGATAAGAACTGATTGGAAAGTAAGACTGTTGTTGTTGTTTACTGATGGTGGATGGATTATTGGAAATCAGGAGATGAGGACTGTGTCAAGCCGATGTTGATGGAGATGGATGGTCAAGAGGGAGGAGGGACGGCGGGTGGAAGGGGTGGAGCCTGGCAAGTGGTGAAGCTGACAGAGGCGTACATACTCACCGATCGATTACGTAATGCCAATCAACTGGCCACCCAGTGTGAGCGCACCGGCCAACTTCAATCCGCTTGCTGACGCGTCACTCCAAGCGGCCGCAGCCGATTCCAGCCTATCCCAGCGTATCGCCCGAATGATCAACGATCTAGTCTCAGATCAGGGACTCGATTTAAAAATTAAATGGCAATGGCAACACTCTGATCTTCATCATTGGAACTTTCTTCTATGAAAATACCCCCCCCCCTAGATCTACTTAAGGCAATGGGTTTGCTACCCTCTGTAAGCATGAAATCCATAGATAATGATTTGGATGGTGAGATTAAATTCTAATCCTGAAAAGAGCAACAGGAAAAACCGAAAAATTGCATTGAGAAATCTTTATTCTTTAAATGGATTGGTGAATAGTTATTTGCATACATGATGACTAGTATTTGCCCCCAATAATTTTGGGCAATTTGACTTGGTGAGCTTAATGTTCTTGCCCCAAACTTTGGGGAGTTCTACTCAATGACCTTTTTCTCCTTTCAGGGTTGTTGCTTGACTTAGACACCTGTCTCAGTAGAATGTTGGTGTCAACAAATGTGAACTGGTCAATGCCAGTGTTAGATTGCATGACACTTTGTTTGGTGGCAGTCCATGATATCATAAAATATCACAGGAAAATCCTGCAAATTTTTTTGGGGGGCCACATTTATTATCATAAGTGACAATTGTGTTTGGTTGGTCACGCTATAACACCAAAAATCCACTGTAACAAGCAGAGCATTGTCTAGCTTTTTCATAATTGTTTCAAGGTTTATCAACCTTATTCGGATCATTCAGATTTATATATTTTTTCTTATGATATGGTCTATCAAGCCACGCTGGGCACAGGCCCAAGTTTGGCCAAAACGGGCTGGGCCAATGCCAAAGCTTGTGTGGCACATCCTAAACCAATCTTGGCACCCTCCCAACCCCCACTTGGCACATGCCAAAGTTGGCGGGGTGTTGAAACTTGAGACTGTCCCGTGACACTCCAGTGAAACTAGACTGTCTCACCAAAGTTAACCTAATCCCAAATTCACCGCTTGCTCAGCTCTCATCCCATCCAACCGCTCCATTCTTTCGCTTCTTCCTCATCGACCATCGCTACTCTCATCGATCATCGCTACTCCACTCACTTCTCAGCATATCTCAAGATCAAGATCAATCTTTTCATTTCCGGCAACAACAAGTCCGGCGAAGCTTTGACATTGGACAGCCTTTGTAGCTTCCAACTTGGTGAGAAATGCACAACTCGCATTTCTTGTTCTCTCTCTCCTTCTAACTCAACATAACTAACCTCCTTTATTTTGTTCACTATCAGTTATCTTATCTTTGATCTTGTGCTTCTCCCTCACTTCTATATTTAAAATTCATCCCTACCTACATTATTAGGGTTTGTCTTTCTTTCATTTCTCTTGACTCATAAAAACCTTCAATCGACTGATCTTCTTCATTTATCCATCAGTCTCTGCTTTTCTCTTGTCTCAATAAAATATACTGTTGTCTGTCTCGGATAAAGTCTATCCGCTACAGGGTTAGTTTTCTGTCTTCCTTCTCTGTTGTTTCTATATCTTCTAACACATTGTTCTCAGTTTCTGGTTTTGGTTTTAAGGAATAAAAAGTCTCAGATTTTACACGATTAACAGTCGAAGCGCGATCGACGAACAGTTTATGTCCGCCGAGAATACCAAAGTCGCACCTCCTGCTTTGAATTCCGATTCTACTTCCAAAAACCAGACTCCTGCTACGACAACGACCATCTTCAAGATGGACGCTATTCAATCTTCTGTCCTAAAAACCGTCATTGAGGGAATTCCTCTGCTTACGATGTAAGACTCAAAAGTGGTTGTGAAACCCTTTTGCTGAATGGAGAAGGGGATGGTGGAGTTGCAAGCTCTGCCCTTCTATGCTATCAGAACAACAAGACCACCAAGCTCAGCTTGGCAGTTTATATATCGTGATAGAGGATAGTTCGAGATGAAGCTGTCGAATGATTCGTATAACGGTTAAAGGTGTTTATGGTGATTGTTGATGATAATGTTGTTGTTGATGAAGTTGTTGATAGAGGTGTCAATGATTGTTGTCGAGGTTGAGGCTTGAACGCAGGTCCTTGAGGTTGATGGTATATAAAGTTAAAAAGAGTGATTGAGAACCAAGGCGCAGTTGATGGGAGAGCTATGCTTCAACCAGGAATGGAACGGAGGACCAGAACAGGTGGAGATAAGGTGGAGATAAGGTGGAGATAAGGTGGAGATAAGGTGGAGATAAGGTGGAGATAAGGTGGAGTTAAGGTGGTGTTAAGGTGGATGTCTTGAATGGGAATTGAACCCAGGTCCTTGTGGTTGGGGTGTATGAAGCCAAAAAGCAGTGGATTTCAGGCAAAGGTGAGATAGCTTGGTGGTTATGAAAAAAGTAATGTTGATATTTCTACACTATAAAGAACTGTTATAACATATATAAGGGGGGTTATAATTATAAAACCTCAATACTAGGTAGCTAATAATATTGAAGAGTGACCAGTGATGTAGTGTTATGGGGGGGACTGACTACAGAGCATCTGATGAGGAGGGAATACAACTGGCAGGCAGAGGCCTCCTTATATAGACAAAAGTGAGGGAATTTAGCTCCAGGGTACATGCAGGTGAGGGAATTTAGCTGGCCTGAATATCCAATGAGGGAATTTAGCTAGTCTAGTACATGCAGGTGAGGGAATTTAGCTAGTGATAGCACAGCCTTGAGGGATTTTGGCTGGCCTACAAGGTCCTGCTACAAAGGAATGCATGTGCACCAACAAAGGAATTCAATATGTAATATGAGCTAGTAAAGGAATTCAATATGAAACAAAGGAACTCAATATCCAATATGCATCCAGTATTCAAATTGAGCTATAGTCAGAGTAAAGAATCCAAGAGATATCCTGTGATAGGTTGAAATAGGTGTAACTTCTGAACTAATAGAGATAAGGGGGTAGTTGTAGTGGGTGACTAGGGGTTATTTTACCTCAGGAATCCATTTTTGATGTTTCTTTTACCTTATATCTGATGTAGAAAAAGATGAGAATAATTTTTTATATTTTTGGCGTAGAAACACAGGAATAACTACCACAACGATGGACAACTATACTCATTGGAGACGAAGAGTCTTCAACTTTCTCGATGTCGTGAAACTCAAGGATGGACTCACTCTCGAAGACAAGAAGCTTACCGAAGATGAAAATCACTTCCTTAAAGCAATACTGGTCGCCAAGCTCGAGTCTACCGTTCAAGCAAACGTGATTGACTCTAACAACGAAAACAAATCCAAACTAATCTGGAAGTCTATCGTTGAGTTCTTTGCATCAAATCAAGCATCGAACAAGGCGAGAGTCTTCCAATCCTTTCTTCGCTCGCCGTACACTCCAAACGACATTCCTGGGTTCATCACAACCATGAAGACATTTCAGTCTCAACTGATTGAAGTTGGTTGGAACTTCTCCGACGATGCGATTGGCCACATGGTCATTCACAAGTTTCCGAGCAGCATGGACGATATCGTCAACCAAATCACTCACTCGGACAAAGAACCCACTATCGATGTGGTCTTTGAACACCTCAGAGTCCATGAACACAATATCGAGGTTCGCGGTAACGGTAGCGGAACAAAATCCAATCCGATCACCCTTTTCACCGATGCGTCCAAGAAATGTCGCACTGGAGCTCATAATACTCTAGCGAATCACTCGGCCTCAAACTGCTGGTTCGTTCATCCGGAAAAACGACCTGCTCACTTTCAACAAAGACCCGCGTCAAATAACGAATCATCTGTCAGTAGCTTCCACTCCTCACTATCCAATTCACCTCATCTGTTCATTCTGGATTCTGGATCATCGGCTCATATGACCTCAAACCTACATCTGTTTCATACTCTAGAACTCAAGGAACTAGGATGCGTTCAAACAAGCTCAGCTCTAGATCAACTCAGGATCAAAGGCATTGGGTCGATTCGTTTGAAGAACAAGTTTGGCGAGATCTTTCTCAATCATGTTCTTTACATACCCGATATCGTTGTAAATCTTCTCTCTGTTCGATGTCTTATTCTGGAAGATTATACTGTTCAGTTTCATAAAAATTCATTTGAAATCCTTAAAAATAATGAAATGAAAATGACGGGAAATTACATCGGTAATCTACCCAGCCTTGACTTTGAGAACATTCAACACGCTAGTCATCTATCATCTGCTGAGTTCATCCACAAATCCTTGGGACATGTCAGCTATCATCGATTGAGAAAGAAGCTTGGCATTCCGCTCAAGATAATCAACAACTGCGAGTCGTGCGCTGTTGCCAAAATCACCAAGGCGTCTTTCAAATCGACCCACAAACATGCGTTGAAACCATTTGAGGAGATCCACCTAGACTTGATCGGTCCTATCTGGCCCCCGTCCTACGAGGGACATAAGTACATTCTGACTTTTGTGGACAGTTGTACTCGGTTCTGTGCTGCTATTCCAATCAAACTCAAGAGCGACGTACCTGAGACTCTATCCTTTCTGCTAGACATAGAAGCCAAACGATTTGGCTATTATCCGTCAACTCTTCACTCTGACAGAGGAACAGAATTCCTGAACTCCAGTCTAAGCGAGTACTGTACCACTCACCTGATAAAACAAAGGACCTCTGATGCGTATACGCCCCAACAAAATGGACTTGCCGAAAGATTTAACAGAACAATACTTGAATCCATGAGGACCATTCTGGAAGACTCCGGTATTGAGCGAAAGTACTGGAATGAGATTGCGAAAGTCAGCTCTTTAACTCTCAATCAGATTCCCACTCATCGATCGAAGAAATCTCCATTCGAATTATTCAAGAATCGCTCACTTCCACTCAGCTACTTCTATCCACTGGGTAATCGAGTGTCTTTTCTCATACAACCCGAACAGTCGCACTCCAAACTGAAACCCAAAGGAAAACTTGGAAGACTAATTGGATATTTGGACGAGATAAGGTCTTATCGGATTCTGTCAGATGACGGAAAGGTGATTGACACCAAACATGTTCAATTTCTTGAATACTCACCTCCCACAAATAAAGATACAGACTGGGACCTCACCTTTGAACCTGAATCCGAACTTGAAAACCCTGAGACCAAAGAAGAAGTGGATAATGAAGTATCTGACACGTCTGACGACAGTGAAGAAGAAATAGCTGCAAATCTGAATCCTGTACCTAACACCGACAGAGTACTCCGTGATCGCACGTCTCAGGTCAAACCAGTCAAGTACTCGTATTTATCAACAGATCCATCCTCATTCAAAAACGCTCTCAAATCCTCGGATAAGGAAAAGTGGCTTGAAGCAGCAGAAGAAGAACTCTCCAATATTGAACATCATCAAGTGTGGGAAGACATGTTCGAAACTCCCGAATCCTTCTTGCGAACTCTATGGATCTTCAAGACCAAACCGGCCACTCTGTCTGCAGCTGAAAGGAAGAAAGCACGTCTATGCATTCAAGGATTTCTTCAAGTTGAAGGGGAAGACTACGGAAATACCTTTGCTCCCACTGGAAAGTTCACTACTCTCTTAGTAATACTCATGTTTGCTGTTGATAAAAAACTTCCGGTCAGACAATTTGATGTCAAGAGCGCCTTTTTGTATGCTCCTCTCAAAGAAGAACTCTATATCAAGACTCCTGAAGGATCATCTAGAAAAGCTCCATTCCTACGTCTAAGAAAATCTTTATACGGACTAAAGCAAGCACCTGCCAACTGGTACGAGACTCTTACCACATGGTTTCATGAAATCAACTATGTCCAGTCAACATCAGATCCCTGTCTCTTTATTCATCAAGACAAGAATTCTTTCATTTTTTTTCACGTTGATGACTTAGTTGTTGTGGGAAATGTGGAAGTCTTTGAAGAGCTATTCCTACTTCGCTTTCCAAATTCAAGCGCTCATGAGCCCGACACACTGCTTGGAATGGATGTTGAAAAATCCGACTCGGCTATCTCCCTTTCTCAAGAAAAACTGATCAAAAAGGGTCTGGACATGCTAGGCTTAACAGAGTGCAAACCAGTCAACACACCTTTATCAGTAGCCGTGCAACTCAAACCCGCAACTGAAGAAGAAAAATCAGAATTCTCCAAGCTCAATGTCAATTATCGGACATACACAGGAATCCTAAACTATCTGTCATGCCGAACACGCCCAGATCTAGCTCCTGCTGTATCCATCCTGTCTAGCTTCAATAATGAACCTGGGATTAATCACTGGAAAGAACTCATTCACTGCTGGAAATATGTGAAGGGTACTCAACACTTGCACCTCACTCTTCGGCCTACATCTGATGATTCTAAGTCAATTCAACACTTCACGGACGCCACGTGGGCAGATGATCTGGAAACTCGACTCTCACGGAGCGGATCAATATGCTTCTGGAAACAATGTCCTATAGCTTGGAACAGCAAACGACAGCGTAACATTGCTCTTTCTTCAACAGAGGCCGAACTGAATGCTCTCTCCGACGGTGTTCAAGAAAATCAATGGATTAAATTCTTGGTAGAAGAACTGTGGAACGAGACTCTGGATCCTTCTACTTTTCACATTGACAATCAAGGGCTGGCTGAAAAAATAAAAAACTTTGGATCCAACTCGAAAACAAAACATCTCGACATCAAAATGAAATGGCTGCGGGACTTAAAGAACAAAAACGAAATCACAGTCACTCTCATTCCCTCTGAAGACATGGTGGCCGACACCCTGACCAAAGCAAGCAATCTGGAATCACTCAACAGGCTACGAGAAAAGTGCTTCTTAGTTCATTACTCACCAAGTTGAGGGGGGTGTTGAAACTTGAGACTGTCCCGTGACACTCCAGTGAAACTAGACTGTCTCACCAAAGTTAACCTAATCCCAAATTCACCGCTTGCTCAGCTCTCATCCCATCCAACCGCTCCATTCTTTCGCTTCTTCCTCATCGACCATCGCTACTCTCATCGATCATCGCTACTCCACTCACTTCTCAGCATATCTCAAGATCAAGATCAATCTTTTCATTTCCGGCAACAACAAGTCCGGCGAAGCTTTGACATTGGACAGCCTTTGTAGCTTCCAACTTGGTGAGAAATGCACAACTCGCATTTCTTGTTCTCTCTCTCCTTCTAACTCAACATAACTAACCTCCTTTATTTTGTTCACTATCAGTTATCTTATCTTTGATCTTGTGCTTCTCCCTCACTTCTATATTTAAAATTCATCCCTACCTACATTATTAGGGTTTGTCTTTCTTTCATTTCTCTTGACTCATAAAAACCTTCAATCGACTGATCTTCTTCATTTATCCATCAGTCTCTGCTTTTCTCTTGTCTCAATAAAATATACTGTTGTCTGTCTCGGATAAAGTCTATCCGCTACAGGGTTAGTTTTCTGTCTTCCTTCTCTGTTGTTTCTATATCTTCTAACACATTGTTCTCAGTTTCTGGTTTTGGTTTTAAGGAATAAAAAGTCTCAGATTTTACAAAAGTCTCAGATTTTACACGGGGGTTGGGCCAAAGCCTTGCTTGGCCGAACCCAAGCAAGGGTGCCACCCACTCCAAAACCACCCCTGTTCAAGTGTGGAGGTGTGCAGGGAGGTTGAATACTCGTCAAGCTGTTGTGGCTGATCATGTCAGGAGAGTAGAGCAATGGATACCCATTGGGTTTTTAAGGCCCCAACCAAGGTTGACAAACCGCTGGCCGCTTGCAGATTGTTGAGCGCTCCTTGGTCTGGCAAAGTTGGTTGATGGTTGATGGTCTGATTGGCCAAGCGCTTGGGGGCGGTCCAGCGGGACTTGGCTATGTGCCAAGATCCGAGCCCCGCCCAACTGGGACAATCAAGCCCCCTGGGCACACGTCCAAGCCCTGGTGGCGCTTGGCCAAGCGGGACTTGTGATTTTGCCCAGCGTGGCTTGATATACAGCTATTCCGGAAATGGTTGTCCAGTTAGGAGGTACAGCTGTCATCAGTAGTTCAGTTCTGACAGGTCCAGTTCAGTAAAAAAATAAAAAATGTAAATAAAAATAAAAATAAAAAAGAATTCACGAGTCCAAGTGGACAAGACTTCCCAAAATAGCTGTAATGGACTGCCAAACAGAGCCTTAGTTATATGTAGATGTATGTACATAGCTCTATTTTTTCCTTTGTTAAATTACTTAGCATTGAGTTTATGCTGCCAAGAGGTGGAGAATTCATCTAGATTTATCTTGTTTGGATGTAGTAAGAATTTAAATTTTGGAAAATCTCACTATAAAAATGATAGTATAGACCCAGGTCACAAGAACAAAAGGGAAACAAATTGTAGCCAAGCTGCCAAATGGACTCAAGTCAACAGTATTATAAATCAAGCAAATCAAAAATAAACTTAATTTTGATTGACTGAGAGCAGTTTATTTTTTTATGTTGTTGATTATCCGAGCAGACTTTCCTTAAGGAAAGGGGAAAAAATTAATTATGAATTTATTTGATTCAAGTGGATGGCCATATCAATGTAGTAAACCAATATATCAATCCAGATAATTTACATATTCATAAGAAATACTGCTCATATTTGGCCTCAATGTTCTTGAAATAAGATGAATCATTCATGAATATAACAAATACTCAAGACATAATACATATAGGCTTTTTTTCTCTTTCACTACTGGAGTAAATCCTTTTAAATTAACTCTGATTGTATTATTTGATTTTGATAAAATTGCAGATGGTCTGGTCTGGGATTGGTTTAATAAAAAACTCTGGAGCCAGTTGTGAAATGAAATTTGTAAGTGACAACTAGAGAGCTCCCAATAGGGGGCCTAAAATCAATTCATCATAATTTGCAATATATAAGTGAAATATTTAGCCATGATCAGAAAATTGAACATGTGGGACAAGCCACAATACTAGCTATGACCAAACACAAATGAGAAAAAATTATGCTACCTTGTCATGATTTGTTTTGGGGATTCATTTGCTATGAAGCATGAGATGATGATAATCGGAGAGTGATATGTGACAAGAATGAGTAAAAATTGAAATAGGTTCAGAATAAACAACACCTCCAACTGCTGCTTGCTGTCTAACCCTTGTATCAAACTTTCATTCATTGAAACTTTTCAACTTGATTCATTAGATTCCAACCTAGCTTTATTACGTCTTGCCATTTTGTTGTGGTAATAACTTCTTTTCCTAGCTGCCTTTTGTTCTCTCAAAGATTCTTTGTGTCTCATAGATTGGAGTTCCTCCTCCTCTGAAATTTCCTTTACAGGTAAAAACTTGTTCTCAATTAATGACAATTTGAATTTTTTGAGGGAATTTGAGAACCTTTGATGGATGGCAGGATCCAACACCCATTGTTGTCCATTTGCATTTTCCCAGGGCAGAGTTTCTAGTTGTGTCCAATTAGCTGATTTGGTTGCCCTTTTTTTGCTCGAGCCATGGTGTTGGCGGGCTTTGAGAATCAGATAAAAATTCACAAAGTGGTGATCGAACTTGAACAGCTCTTTCCATTTGTTCAAGTTAGATGATTTGTAGAAATTCCCTAGTGCATTGATTGCAACTTTCGTGAGACTGGCTTGACCTAAATTCACCTGTGTTGATTGATTTTTAGAAGGACGTAATTGAACTTGCCAGCGACCACGTTTGAGCTCTTTGCTTTTCAGGTCCGATTTCAGACAGTCCAGGAGGGTTTTTTGAAATGGAGTTATTGAGTCAGATGCTTCATGATTGGGACCTTCTAGGCCGGCTCGAGCATCGGCTTGAGAGGTCGTGTCCAGTTGAAGCCTCAGCCATGCGAGAAGGCGTTGATGTGTATCTTTCATGTTTCCATAATTTCGATCATTTCTCAAATCTGCCATGAAGTATTTTTCATCTCCAGAGGCAGATGAACTGAAAGCTAATAGAAATTGTTTGTTACGAATGTCAATTTCTTTGATTAAAGCCAGGAGATTTTTAAGAGGATTCTGATTATCATCATTGGCAGCCTTCTTCAAGAGGCTCGGTAGAGCGGGATCATTCAGTTCCATTGTGACAATTTTCCAAACGGAACTACTTGTTAGCCCCCAATCATCTCTGCCAAGAGCGCCCATCCTCTGGTCGGAAGGAAAATTTAACGTGTTAATCCAGCCAAATGGCTTGTCAGTAATGTCATTTGATACATCAAACGGGATGTCAAGTTTATTTGTCAGTTTTTCTCGAGGATTTATCTCCTTGGAAGGCGCATGGTGGTTTCCGACTTTCGTGTTCCAATTTGTACTCTTAATGACATCATGACCTTGAAATAAGTTATATAGGATGGTTCAAAAGTTATCAAAGGCAGGCCACCTGGCATCCAAGCTAAGGTTCAAGGTGACTCACTTGGCAAGCTGGAAACGGGGGTATGGTGCCAATGGTTAACCGTCGGCTGATGAGCCTGACTAAACCAGTCGTGATTTGAACCTCCCATCGCTTCTAAAAGATCAGAGAAGCTCGAATGAAGGTCATGACCTCCCCAAATACGTCCATATTGCGACTCGTCGATGTGGCCGTTAAATACACTCCCACCATGTGAGACTGGGATAGATAGGCCGGTGGCAGGACGCTCATGCGACGCCAAACTCTCGACCTGCTGGGAAATAGACGACAACCTGTCCACGGGGATAGGTGCCTCGTAAGGTCGTGGTCTACCACTGCAATGTTGAATGCATAAGTATAACAGGGCGAAGTTGACAATCACCGCGGTCTTGGTATCGTTGACCATGCCAGTGATGCGTGGGGCTAGGTGCGAATGGCAAGCAGGAGAAGAAATGCGCGGCTATTTGATTGGTTGGGAATGGGATGCAGACAGTCTACGCTCACGAGTATTGGTGATGGAACTCTTGCCGCGCCTTTTGCTACTGGATCACAATGATTTGACTGTAGGTCGTTTAAAACCCTGCAGCGACAGTCGGAACTTCCCGAAGATGTTGGCGGCGGCACAGCCCGTTGTTGAGTGAATTTTCAAACATTTTCCGGCACATGTGGTTTAAATGTAACTTTATTGGGGCACATCACCTCCTGTCATAAGATCTTAGGAATCCTTGAAACCGAAATCTATAAACTTGAAAGAATCACCATTTGACACTGGATGAAACGAGTCGTGCATTGGTGCGGCTCTGTGGTCTGAAATGAGCCGGGTTTCAAGTCATGTCAGTTTTTTGGCCTGGACATCTGAGACTCTGTGGGAGGGGGGTTGTGCCATTCCATTATTCAAACAACTCAAAGCAGGTCTGCTTTTCCTTGCGGATTGGCCTCGCATGACGACCCACCGCGGCCGTCCTTCGGAAGGGGCGAAGGGGCTTGCCGCGTCAGGCTCGATTTTTTGCCATCTCCCTCACAAGAAAACCCAGTGCTATTAGAACCACGAGAGTTGCCTTGTCTTGATGCATCTTCTGGTGTTACAAATGTACAACCTGTTGCAACCATCACTGAAGTCCTATTTATTTAGTGTAAACCCCCTCAAACATCAAATTTTAAGCTCAACTCATGCCTGCATGATAATTCATCTTACTACCCCCGGATTAAAAGCCCATATTTGTGAAAGTGCATAACACAAAATTTCAAGGACCCAAGTAATTTCTCAGAGCCCTTGGCCACATCATCCTACTAATTAACTAAATAGAAACTTTGGGTACTTCATTTTGAAGCCAGAATGCCAGGCTACTTCCCCTCCAGATAGTCCCCAGATTTCTGCAATAATTAGATAAGCTAAAATTGACTCCTTAAAAGTTACATCCACTGAATCTCAAAGTGCTCATGTGGAATTCCAAGATACCTCATAAGCCTCTCCTATGGACAGCCTTTTTTTGAAAGTGGGATTTCTTAGGGGAAAAACAAAAACAGCAATCATCCAGCTTGAAATTGAGTGGATGTTATGTTACCACCACTACTGAACGGGATAGGTTCTATGTCTTTTTTGTATTTTTTTCATCCAATCATTCAAGAGTTCTCAAGAGCCCCAAATCTATCTGAAAATTAAACCTGACAAAAGCCCCAGGTAGGGTTTTTTGGTGCCACTTTTGAGAAATTGAAACCCATGAACAAGTGCCCAAAATCCCCTCCAAAAGTGCCCTTGTTTGATTGACACAGTAGCAGCTCCCCAAGGCATCATTTTATCTCAATCTCATTATGAACTGCAAATTTGAAGAAAATGTTAGAAAATTGAAAGTATCTAATTATGAATGTAGTTTATTTGTGGATGATGAAGTGCTTGATTGGAAAAAAAAAATCCAAATTATTGTATGACCTTTGGTTCAAATAAACAAAGTTTTAATTGCATCATAAAGAGTTTTCAGGCATTCATATCCTCAATTTCTGAGGTGTAATACACTTCAATGCCTCACATTTGATAACAGAAATCAATCTAGCAGGAACCAATTCTTCCATCAAAAACTAAGATATGATCAGAAACTACTTTCCCAAACTTTCTTCTCTCCTTTGATGAAAAAACAAAAACAGATTTCTTGTCAGTAACTCTCACATAGCTTGTCAAGGAGTCTCACATATCTGTTCAGGAACTCTTACAAAACAGGAAATTTGAAGGAAGGTTACACCAAAACAAACAAAATGAAAGGCAGTATCACTTCAGAGAATTAAACCAAGATGACCAAAACTTAAAGAATGGTCAGCCAGAGCCAGCTTTGGATCAAGTGCTCATGTCATGAACTGGCAGAGTGAATGTTGATCAGCAAGTTATGGGATGAATTGCCACCCATAAAAAGTCAAGAGTGATTATGTAAGTTAGCCATCATCCTAATCAATATTCAATATCTTATGCAGTTCATCAACTAAAACAAAACATTAATTCAGAGGACTTTGTGTCAATGAGATTTCCCTACAAACTTCAAAGCAGTCTTCTAAATCTGATTCCACAGGGTCTTCTGGTAATGCATGGATGTGTGTGCATGTGAACTCTACAAGTGTTAATTTTGTTCTCTTACAAAAAGTCATGCTTGTTAATTCCCAGTGCAACAAAAAAAAGATCAGGTCTTCATACTTCGTTTACTTTTACGAAGGGGGCGCCTCAGTTACTGATAGACAAGCTTCTATTGACTCGGGGAGAAAAAATGAAGGCCTCTCTCCGTCCGGGAATTGAACCCGGGTCACCCGCGTGACAAGCGGGTATACTGACCTCTATACTAACGAAGATTGATGACGTAAGAGCAAGGATTACCGCCCTCGATCGAATCGGTAAAACCTCGGTATTTACCATTTTTAGCATTCCATGTATTTACACTTTCAACAAACTGTCTTGAATTATCAAAGAAGATTCATGGTGCTATTGGCTTTATGAAAGCGGCACAGAACATGAACATTGATTTGATTCAAATATGATGATATCGTTATATTGCGATTAAGATCCATAAACTACATGGTCGAAGATACACATTGCCTTCATCGGATTTTCTTCCTTTTTTTCGGGGGAGGAGGGGAGGGTGTGTTAATTTGTTTCTTTTTTTGTAGGAAAAAAAAGACATTTTGATGAATTTCTTGAGAAAGAAATTACAAATGAGAAAGAAAGAGAAATTATAAGAGAGAGCCAAGTCAAGAAAACACACATGTATAGAGAAAAAAAGGGGAAGAGAATTAAGAAATGGAACGTTGAGTGAGGGGGTGAGAGAGGGGTAAGGATTCTATACACAATATGAGTGACCATAAGAAAATCAAATTGAATTGAAAGGATTTCATGGTCTTTTACTAAGACGAGCGGCGAGTTCATTCACAGGGGTACTGTTGACACTACCGCTACTTTCCTCTGCCTGGGTACTAGAAGGATTATTGATTCCTTTAGCCCTTTTCAACTGAGCGGGATCATTACTAGTTTGGTTGCCATTACTAGAGCCGAGAGCGTCTTCCTCGCGGGGACGTTTATTAGCGGCTTGGCCGGCGATCGAGGGGAGAGAGGGTGTAACAGAAGAAGCGTTCTCGGCGGCCGTCCCCGTCGCCTGTTTCACCGCCATTCCGAGCAGACTTCCGGCGCCTGCCTTCTTAATCGTTGCAGCCCCGCGAATGCTGACGCTGCCCGTCAGCCCCGGCTTCTCCGCCATTCGGCCCTCGGCCGGCAGCTGCGGGCTGGTGGCGCTGGAAGCCGTGATTGGACCACTGGGGCCAGGGGCCGTACCGGCCGCTGCTGGAACCCCTCCGCCGCCTGGTGCTCCTCCCCGGCCAACCATGCCAGCGCGGCCTCGACCGTATCCTCTAGGAGCCCCCCTTCCAAAAGTGATCGTTGTTCCTCGTGCCATTCCTCTTGCTGCTTGGGATGCAGCCCCCGATGTATTCAGTCCCACTGGTGGCAAGGCTCCTCGAGTTGATCCTCCACGACCTCGAACTGCTCCGCCTCGTATTACCTGGGCAGTTGGACCTTGGGGCCTTGTGGGAAGACCCGCGCCGTTTGCGAGATCCGCCGAATTTGGAGTCACGCCAGTCTGGTTGGACTGGATAGTCGCGGGGGCGGTCTGGGCAGAATGGGCGGTATTGGCTGGCGATTGGGAAGAAGATGCGTCCGGGGTACCCGTGGGAACGAAGGTGGGCGCTGTCGGAGCGAGCGGTGTGGCAGGAGTAGCTGTGGCTGGGACTACACTGGTTGGGGGAGTTGTTGATGTTCCATTAAGCTGTGCGGATAGCTCGTTGATCTTGGCCGTGAGTTCCGCATTCTTGAGATGCGATCGCTTTAGCTGCATCTGCACAACGTTGTGTTTAGAGTTCATCTCTGCCATCACCTTGGCTTTGGTCGTTTCGACCATCGCTTCTGCCGATGATTTGTGCAACTGGAGAAGTTCGGCTTCCTTATTCTTGACTGCGACCTCAACCGCCACTTTAGTGATTTCTTGTAACTGCTCCGGAGTCGGTTGCTTCAAGTCTGGATTCTGAGTTGGGGCTTTACGCGCTTCCGAAAGCTCAGCTTGATGTTTTCTGACTAGCTCTTGCTCCCTCGCGGCTGCAGCCGCCTGTAATTCATTCTTGATTTCAGCCACCTTAGAGGATACGCGTGCTTCTACAAGATCTTCTGGTACAGCAGTCGACGGATTAGAGCCCGATGATGCCAACTCCGCTTTGTGTTTTTCGGCGGACTCGGCTTGTGACTTGGCAAACTCAGCCGTAAGTCTTTGGGTAGTCTCTTCAACAGCCTTCTGGACGGCTTCCGCTTTCTCAGAAAGAGCTTGCTGCTTGACTTGGTTTATCTGTTGTTGAACTTGTTCTTCGCCGGCTGATATTTCCCCAGGCTCTGTGGCTGACATGGTAGCAAGCTTTGCTTGAACGCGCTTCGACACTTCCATTTCGATCGTTGCTTCAGATGTCATGTTCGGCGGGTTTTGAGACGCTTCTTCCCGAAGTTTAGTCAGCTGCTCAGTTAGCTGCTTGTTTGTGTTTGCAGCACCAGTCTAGAAGAAGTACAATTTTGTGTCAATCTAGCAGCACAATGCAATATATCTGTCAAGGAATAGATGACTAACATTTTCCGTAAGCAACTTGGTAATTTCACTTTCCCGAGCCTGTAATGAAGAGATGGGGGGATGTAAGCCTGAGCGCATGTTAAGAGCAGAGCCTAAGAAGTAAACTAACCTCAAAAGCAGCTTTGACTTGATCGAGTTCCTTCTTGAGAGCATCCAACGAAGCCTGTGTCTCAGCAGCGCGATTCTTGAATGTGAGCGCGTCGGCCAAGCTAGATTCCGCGGCGGCCTTTTCTTGGCGGAGGGTCTGTAACTGTTCTTGAGCTTGCACAGCAGCTTGTTCGACAACCACCTTATTCTACGATGAAACATCAAATCGATATCAGTAGTCTGAACCTCATGCTGATCACTGGCAGGGGAGGGGGGACGCGACATGAGGCTGACCTGATTTTGGGAAGTTTTTGCATCGTTTTCCAGGTTTCGTACAACCTCTTTAACTTTGTCAAGTTCCTCATTGACTGTGGTGAGTTTAGCTTCGAGTGCAAGCTTTTCCTCCGTCGATTTCTGCCGTATGTTACGAGCCTGACCTTGGATCGCGTAGAACTTCTCTTTGAAGTGATGGAGTTGCGATAACTTTGTGGGCAGGTAAAGTTCATTTTTGATTTAGGAAAGATCGACGAGCATTGGGACGAGTGAACTCAAAAGTGACTTACTTCTTCGCGGGTTTGAGTTAATTCCTGTTTTAATCGCTCGATTTCATCACGAAGGCCTTGGACCTCTGCGGGATCAATTCGATCGTATTTCTCAAGGATCTGCTGATTCCTGAGCTTCCATCGTTCATTATCCTCATTCAGGATCCCAATCTCTTGCTGGTATTGTTGCACAGTGAGTTGTAATTCACGTAATTCCTGTTTGAGGGGCTCTACCGTTTCAGAAGTCTGTTTCAACTGTTCTTCCAATTGCTTGGCTTTACGCTCGGATCGGTTTGCTTCATCTCGCAGGGTAATGTTACTTTCGCGTATCATATTCAATGTATTGATTTGATCGAGAAGTTGCGCATGTTCAGCTGATGACACATAGCCCTGTCGACTTCTCTCGCGCTCCTTGATAAAAAAAGGGGAATGGATAAGTCACGTATATTGCTCAGGAATGAAGCAAAGCTTGGAATAAAAATTCATACTTGATTGAGCTCCATTTTAGTTTGATCTAGGGCCTTGGAAGCATGTTGCAATTGCTGCTGGAGTCTAGCGGATTCCATTTTAGAAAGTTCGATTTGTTGTTGAGCGATATCGTAATTGTTGCGGAGGTAACGGATGACACCACGTAGTTGTTCAACAGATTCGACCATGTTTTCATTCATATCGTTTTGCAAAACTTTCTGATCTCCCGGATCACTGCCCACAGCTTGATCAATGTTGTGACTCGATAATTTGGTTGCCTGTGCACTAACAGTTTCGAGATGCTCATGAAGCAAGTTGTTTTGCTTGAGAAGATCATCACATCTAACACACACAAGGCAATTCAGTATGATGTGATCAAGTTGAAAACGATGGTTTAGTCACCCACCGAGTTTGAATATTGGCAAGTTCCTTTTGGAGCGTAGTTTTTTGTTCTGACCAACTAGCTTCTGAGGAAGTAAGTTTGGTAGTAGCAGTTTGGGCCGTGGTCTGAGCTTCTAGGATCGATTCACGTGCGGTTTCCAGTTCTGATTTGACTTGCTTCAATTCGTTGAGAGAATTCGCATGATTTTGGACTTCGGCCTTGTATCGATCGTGACTATCCTGAGCGAGCTTCATTTGATTATTAACTTCCGCTCTCAATTCATTATCTCGTGCCTTCACCCTGGTCTCAATTTCTTCCAAGTCGACCAACTTGTTATTGAGAGCCAGTTTCTCCTTCTCGAAGTCCGCTCGTTGGGACTCTAATTGGCGATGAAGTTCCGAATTCTGGCTAGTTGCAGCAGAAAGATCCTCGGTAACCTTCCTCAAATGTTCTTCGAGTGAAGTAAGGGCACTCTACAAGCCAGGAGGTAGTGGACAATCAATGTAATGTCCAAACGCTCATCAAAATCATTTTAAATGTTTACCTGTTTTCGTTCGAGTTCGGCTTCCTGCGAGCTCCTATATTCGTCATGCGTTGCTGTTAGGGATGCAAGAGCTGCTTCAGCACTCTGTGAGATAGATTTGAACTGCTCCACATTTTGCTGAGCCCGGGTGCACTCTTCTTTAGCGGCCACAAGCTCAATCCTAAAGGGGTAAAAGGAGAACATCAACTGGTGCAAACTTAGATGAAATCAGCAGAACTTGATGCTTACTTCAATTCTGATAATTCAATCTCCAGACGTTGCTCTTTTGTCAGACTAGGATCGTTAGACCCGGAGGTATTAACGTTTCCAGTTTGATTGGATCCAGGATCAGATCGACGATGTCCCTCGTAAACGGCAAGCCTCTCTTCCTTCATGGTCAGCTGCTTTTGAAGTTGAGTCACTTGGTTTTCCAAATGGGTCTTCGTGGCGGAAGCCGCACTAAGATTTTCTCGGGCTGTTAAATGTTCGCCGGTCTAAAGGAGGTACCCAGCACATAATGTCAGCACTGGGAATGAAACATGATCATTGAATGAGTTGGTTCGTACTAGTTTATCAATCTTGGACTGGTATTCTCTGCCCTCGATTTGCCGTTGGAGAGTAGCTTGTCGAGCCAGGTCCGCTTCAACTTTCAGCTTTTCTTTCAATTCGGATCTGTGGGGAGAGTTAGTAAGCCATGAGAAAAAAAAATGGATGTCGTGATCGCGGGGTGAAAGCTTGCTCACAGCTGGCCCTCTGATTTCGACAACTGAGTCTCCAAGCGTCGACGAGAGTCCTCAGCATTCCGTTCAATCTCGCCCTGCATGACTTGCATATTTCTGAGGATATCGTTAATATTGTTACGTTCACGTGTCAAACTGGTATTTTCAGCCACCAGCCGACCTTCCACACCCTGAAAAGAATAGGTAGCATCCAATCAGCTCGACCAAATTTGTTGCATCGTACAAGGGTAAGATTATACACACTTTCCAAACCTCTCTTTCAGATGTCAATGATTCTACTTGATGTTGCAGTACATGACATTTTGCCTTGAGTTCTGTAACATTCTCGTTGGCCTATTTTTTAAGATGAAAACACCATTAAGGGTCATTAATCAGGGTGGCAATACAGAAAGACTTTGTGGAAAATAGAAAGACCTGATGTAGCAGCATCTCGCCCTTAGAAATATGATCTTGAAGCTTGGCGCTCGAGGCTGTTAAGCTTTGTACTTCTTGGACATGCATGGCATTGGTCTGATCAAGAGAACGCTGTCTTTCTGAAGGCTCCCAACAAATGGCAAGTCAGTTTCGAGGTGAAAAATGAAAAGCGCAAGCAAGCCCACCAGTGAGATATTCGATCTGAGCATTTGCTTTGGCAAGCAAGACTTGGGTTCGCGACAAATCCGCCCTGGATTGATTGAGATCTTCGTTCATTTGTTTGGAATCGCGGCCGATCTCGGTGCGGTAGACTTCAAACTGTGTTCGAAGTTCATCAAGCTTCTGTCGAGATCCATCTGGGGTGGCGGTATCCGGTTCGAAGGAGAGATGATCACCTGGGATCTTGGCTTGTGACTGATCGAGCATCTTTCTAAGCATGTCGCGTTCTCTAAAGAGGGCTTCACTCTTTTGTTGCGCGGAATGGAGGTCGGTCTTGAGCTTGAGAATCAGTTCGTGTGCTTCATCGATGGCCTGTTTGGTGTTTTCATCCTCTTCATCTTCTTCTTCATTCTTATTGGCCCGGTTTTCTTCCAACTCGTTGAGTTTGGTGGTCAGTGTTCGTGCGAATAGGAGCAGCTTGAGGTTCTTTTGTTGCATGTCTGTTATGTTTCGGTAAGTAATGAGGTCGTTGGCGAGTAAGACATCTTCCTCCTCCTCAACCTGTGCATTGCGCCAAGTCGACAAGTCTTTCTCAAGATCTTCCTCGTCTCCTGTGATGGCAAATGGATTGCCAGTTTCGCGTCTGGTGACTTCCACCGTAAGCAATCGGACTTGTAGGCTTAGATCGTTGACCTGTGAATTGGCTAGGTCGTAATCTCGTTGAAGAGCTTTGAGATCAAGGTTACAGCTTTGATACATTCTCTGAGCTTCCTCCTTTTCTTCGATAACTTGTGTGAGTTGGGATGTTAGATTAATACACTCATTTTCAATCCTGTCGTGTTCAACCCGTTGTTGGTGAAGTAACGGAGCCTGTAAAGTTTCGGACGCAGTAGTCAAGGATCAAGATCTTTGGATCAAATGGTTCAAGTACTTCTTGTTTATTAAAATAACTGACCCGGTCTTGGATTTCTCCTAATATCTGACTCATTGTCTCACTGAGACGAACGTTTTCGAGTTGAACTTTTTTCAGTTCTTCCTCGAGTACGATTTTCTCGGTATAAACTTGAGTCAAACTCTTCCCGCTCTTCTGGAGTTTGCTGGCCATAGCTGCAGCTGGGCTGATACCGTTAGCAAGGAACATGCCGTTCTGTTTTCTCGACAATGGAGTCCCGGGAGTTCGATTAACGAGAGGAGTATTCGCAGCAATGTCAAGCAGATCTTGAGAGTCATTTTCATCGATCTCTGACGCGCATAACCTGGAGAGTGCATTGGTGGTATCCATCAATTTCTGTTCCAACTCAGCGACATGGGCGCGTTCATTTTCTAAGGCGTCGTTGATCGTACGTTCCTGCTGATCGAGCTCGGCCCTTCGTTGGTTGAACTCTTTTTCAAGCTGTTCCATTCGTTCTTCCCGTTGCTTATCTCTCTTGTCCATCAGCATCGTCACACGTTTTTGAGCTTCGATCTCCTTCTGAAACGCAGCCTCGGATTCGATTGATTGGTCGGTAAGCTGCTTGATTCGTTCAGTCGCGTCTCCATAGAGCTTTTGAAGTTCGGCATGCTGTGATCGGAGGGTGGTTAGGTTGGTAGTGGTGCTCTGGTTGACATAAGTCAATTTGTCCAGTTCATTTTGAAGGTTTGCTGTTTGTTGATGCTTAAATTCGGTATGATTTAAACGAATAATCCGGATGAATGAGAGTATCAAATGTCACTTGATCAGACCACGGACTGGTTGGAAATTGTTAAAGAGAGAGAGAGAGAGAGAGGTTTGTCAGTTTTACGAGTACATACACTTTCGATCCTGAATGATTGCCATTCTTCGCGAGTTCTCTCGAGTTCTTTGGAATAAAAGTCGCGATCAGAACAAGCCAAGGTGGCTTCAGATTGAAATGCTTGAGATTGCAATCGGATGGCTCTTTCGGAACTCTTGCTGGTGGTTAGATTGGTTTCTAGCTCTCTGATCGTAGCTTTGGCAGAGGAAAGCTGTTCGGTTTTCGATGATAGTTCGGCTGTAAGAATGAGGAGATGGTCAGTATGGCTGGTTGAGTTGGGTTTTGAAGATGATGATGATGATGATGATGAATTGACCTTCTAAATCTGAGAACTCGTTCTCCTTATCTCTGATCACTTGCAATAAGTCTGCCTTCTCGGATTGTAAGGTTTGAAGTTGTTGGTTGAGATTTTGATCGGACTCGAGACGTGATTCCAATGAATGTTTGAGACGTTGGATTTCTTGCAGGCTCTGTTCTAGTTGGGATCGCTGATCGTTTTGATCGTTTAATTTTGATTCGAGTTCGATGAATCGAGCATTAGATGCGTTGAGTTCCGACTCAGATTCGATTTGTAGTCGAGCTAGTTCTGCCTTTGTTTGGTCGAGTTCGGCCTGGAGAGCTGACAGATCGTTGTTGGTTTGCGGGTTAGCAGGGGCATTTGGTGGGCCCTCTTGTTGACCGGTTTCTGGATCCATCCAGTTGGTCGGATGGATTTGAGTGTGATGGTGTGGATTGGATGTGTTTGATGGTTTTGGTTTATGTAGAAGTCGTTCTTCGATCGATGTGTTCCTATGTTTGGGCAATCTGAAGACTGAGAAACGGTAAAGGGAGGGGGGGACCCCCGTGGCACCCCGAGCAACACCAGGGCTGTCAAGGGTAACACTCGTCTCTCCTACTAACGAACAGCCTTTTGGGATTTTTTTTTTCTTCTTTCTTCAAACTACTTCAACGAGATGGACTCACGAACCAGGAACATCATACAGCAACACATCAGACAGATCAAGCTCAAACAAATCATCAAGGAACTACCCCTCTTACTCGTTCGTCAGTCCGAACTAACAGCTCTAGTTTTATCATCATCATCATCGTCATCGTCAATTTCAGATAAAGACCAACTAACTGACCTCTTGATCATTCCAATCACAGTCATCATCTTACTCTGGGCACAATACACCATCTCCATCTCATTGGTCCTCAACTATCTGATTCTCACCCGAGGCCTGGCCTTATTCGGACTGACGATCTGGATCCCATTTAACCTATTCTGGTCATCGACCATCATCAACCTCGCAAGATGTGTCATCACCGGCCCGGGATGGGTTGAGAAATCACCTCCGAACCGTCGTAGTAGCACAGCAACCAGGGACGAGTACGCTCAAGAAGATCAACAAGAAGACCTCGAACGACAACCTATTCAGGCCCCTCATCAGAAGATCCATCAATCTCGACCTACTGCCCGTCAACTGGCACCCTACGATGATCACTCAGAAGAAGAAGAAGATCTAGAAGACGACTCAGATGTTGAATCAGAACATGAGTACGATCACACATCATCAGTCCCACTCCTTTCTCAGACATCATCCTCCACCGCTCCCTCTCGCCATCTAGAGCAGCAACCAATACCGATGAGGAACAACAACAGCCATCGAGGAAGACCAGACCTATTACTTCCACGTCCTGCAGTCACCTCCAGCTCACCACCCTCCTATCTATCAGGTCCCACCAGCCTCCCTCCTTCGAATCTCTCCTTCCAAGAGCAAGTCCAACGCCAACAACAGTCCTCATCCAGCCCCAGCGACCTTCTCGCCGCTTTGAACTTCCCTCCCTCCGTCCCACGTTCCTCCAACCGACCAGAACCATCGTGCAGGCCGGACTCACTCATGTGCAAGTCCGATGGCTCGCTTCGGTTCTGTCGGAAGTGCGAACACTATAAGGCCGATCGATCCCACCATTGCAGCTCCTGTGGCCGTTGCGTCCTACGTATGGATCATCATTGTCCCTGGCTGGGCGGCCGTTGCGTGGGACTCAAGAACCACAAATTCTTCATCCTCTTCCTCCTCTCCTCGTCCATCACTTCCATCATCGCCGCCCTCGCTGCCGGTAAGGGCCTCATGGACTTTGTCTCTAATACCCGCATCTCTCCCGGCGATCCCTTCCAATTGGCTCCCCTCAACTGGGCCTTCTTAATTCTCGTCGGTGGCCTCTTTGGGATGGTCCTAGCCGGATTCACTTGCTATCATCTCTATCTGATCTCCGTCAACAGGTAAGTTGACATCCCTATACAATGCATTCCGCATGCAGAAATTGATATTCTGGTCTCTATTTTTTGAACACAGGACGACAATCGAAAATATGGAGCGGTCGGTTAGGATCAGGCCAACGGGGACGAGGGACCCGAGTGAGTCGTATGCACTACTACGGACGACCAGGTTGCGAGCGTTTGAGGGGGCTGTTGGGGGGACGCAGAGGCATAGGGTTGATGACCAACGAATGCCGAGTATGCCGGGCGAATCCATCCAAATGATCGATGGCACGGGGCAGGAGACAGAGGGGATGGGCCAAGCACCCAAGCTGCCTTCTTACAATCTGCCAATCTACAAATCCGACGACCAGCTTAGTAGACTGGAGCGCAGGAAACTTGAGGCAGGGGCTACCAAGCTCAACCTCTTCGACCTCGGCTCGACGCTCGAAAACTTCAAGCAGATCTTTGGTGTTCATAGTCCGGTCTGGCAGTGGTTCCTACCCATCCATCCCAGAGGGTATGTATATATAACCCCTCCACCCCATTCATTCTGATTTTTCTTTTTCAGAAGTGGGTATTGATTGTATTTCTTTTTTTTTTCTTGGGGCTGGGGCGATGATGTTGTAGGATTAGTGACGGATATCAGTTCCCAATCAACCATCACAATCTCCATAAATTGGTCGAACTGACCTCGGAAATACGACTGTTACCTAACGAACGATCCAACGAACTTCGATTCGAAAGACCTTGACATCCCTTTTTGTTCTCCTCTGCGGCTTCCTTCTTACCTTCCTGTCTTCCTCTCCTCCCTCGTCTTGTTCAGCACATTTCTCTTCTCTTATCTTTGGCATATTCAGAGACATACATATATGTATCTCTATGTTTTAACTTGATCTGTTCTCGTCTTTTTTTGTATTCAAATATATCACTAGGTCACGTTCATTTGTGTTGTTTTGTTTGTTCGGATTGCATCTTTTTTTACACTTGATTTCCTGAATGTTTGATTTAGTTTAGTCATGGAAAGACATTGCTGTTGTCTCTTTTGTATAATATTTACATACACATCATACCTTTTTCCCCCTTATTTTTTGCTGCTTTGATACGCATTGACATGCACTAGATCTTTCGTTTTGTCCTTGGACTTCAACTTGCACAGAAGATTGATCAGATTTGGATACGCTTCTTTATTAAACCTTTTGTTTTCAGAAATCAGTTTCGTTTTACTGGATCACTGCCATTCCTGATCAATTACTTAAGGGAATCTTTCTGGCTGCGTAAGGTCATCTGGAGTTTAACTTTCAATGATAGACAGAGAAAAAGGGCATTTTGAGATACCATTTTATCGAGCCTGGCAAATGGCCTACGTCGCAAGGTCGGGTGAGACTTGTGTTAACTCGGTCATTTTACCAATCTGTTGCCAAATGAGCCTTTGCAGCCGAGAACACTGCACACAGAAACAACCACATGGAAACATGTATGAGTGAACTTTCAGTTGACTGTTGCGCATCAGTGCTCAAGGTTCAATGATCAACTCGGAAAGTATATCGAAAAATATTTTTATTTGGTTTCTTGAAGCATTTTTTCTTCGTGGTACACAAAACAGAAATCTTGAAAAAAGGAGACGTGACATCTTTCACGTTTCATTTCGAAGAGCATTGTGAGCTTGCTCCTGAGGACATTGCACACCCACAAAAACAAAGTCAGTGACAAGCAAGAAAATCCTTTCTACCCATCGGCAACCAGCATGGGCTTGTGAATAGTGCTTACCTTAATAAATGTGTACTTGTATGATCACATGACGGTATGACCCAAGGCTAAATCAGATCTGCACTGTTACGCGATACCCTCCTCACAGTTCGCCGGGGAAGAATCACCGGTGAACTGATAGACTCAACCTTGAACCAGTTCAACAAGAACGTGCCATTCTCGGTACCACTCCTTCCCGGCAAAATGATGTCACTCTGGGGCAGTTTGCCGAGGACCCGTTCGACACACTGAAGAGTGCTCTCCGGCGTACTGATACCCTGGACCAGTGCGTCGAGCAACTGGCCAACAACACGACATGGACTAGTTTTCCATGGACGAGTCTTCCTTCGCAATGTGATCAAGAGTCCCCGGCGAACTGTTGGACCATTTTGCTTACAAGAAATATTCGTGAGTTTTCAAGCACAAAGGCACGTTTTATCCGTATCACTAAATTACAAAATGTGAGAATCGAAGGTAAGACATTTTAGGCATCGGCCAGCATGCCTTCATTCACAAGTCCTGGAGTCTTTTCTGATTGTTTTTTTTTTCCTTTCGATCAAAGTTGTCCGACATTGAAAGAGTTAATTCCACCACCAAGTGTGAAAGTTTTGATTCCGCCAGCCGCTCGTTGTAGTTCATTTTCTTCCTTGATCGTTAGTAATAGTCCGACAACAGTCAAGATATTCATCTGCAAGAATCCAAGATTCATGTTTCAGTGGTGGGTGTGCACATTGTCATCAGAAAAGATGTCAAACAATAGCTCAGCATGGTGATCAATTCAAGACTTACAATGGGGTGTCTTTGGTCGATTTCAATTTGGTAATAGTCGATACTCGAGAGCGGTTTTTTCTTTGCTGCAGTTCAACGTAGTACGCGAATTATTCATATCAAACTCTCTTATACACCTTCCTTGCAAAATGATTCTGATGGTTCATAAGTTTTGAAAAAGTCCTTGTGAGAAAAGGCTAACTGTTTATTTTTGCAACAGCCTGCCCATTGCTATCGCACACGATATAGCCACTTCGAGCGGTGATCTTCTGATAAAAGGTATACGACTGGTTTTCACTAATTTTGAACGTCCATTCCTTGTTTTTACGCGTAGTCACCATCCGATTTCCGTTGTTTTCCTTTTTCAATAGCACACCAGCATGTCATGGAGAGCAAAGTTCGGCACAGATTTAGGTACGTATAACACATCGAATTTAAAGAGAGAAATGATCAGCCACTGTCAGCACAAGTCCTTTTGGTAGCATGATAGAAAAATTATGCCAATGATAATACTGATTGAAAAAATAGATAAAAAAAACAGCGCACTGAATCGAAGAAGTTTTCTTTGAAGATCTGATCTTGGATTGCAATCTTGCGAGGCTTGAAGAAAGCTTTAGGGGTGATAAGCAATTGGTAATCCATGGCCTGATTGAAATGACCAGTGATCGAGAATTTTGTGAATCGTGTTTCGTTCGAGTAAAAGGTTTCGAGCCTTTCCACTAAGAGGAGAAATGTATTCTGGAAGTTATCATCACTTTTCCTTGGAGGCCTCATCCTCTCCTATTTTCGATTGGCGCTACGGTTGATTTATCGTGATAGAGTACTTCTACGGCCCTCGGGGGTCGAGCCTTCTGGTCGGAGTGGCTCACAAGAAAAAAGGAATATCAAGCCAAAGGAAAACGATGGGCTTAAATTGGGTGAGATGTGATGAGACAGGGAGGTTATATATTATGAGGCGGGCGTTTTGAAAGACACCTTCACTTCCACAAATTCGACGTAACACTTGCAAATGTCCCGTTTGGAAATTGAAAGGTATATATTTAAACACATCGAATCATGTGTTCGCACATCTTAAGTTCAATTTCAAGGCCAAACCCATTCCTTGATAAGTTGATATGTCTATTACGAGTTGATTTTTAAGCTCGAATCTAATAAATCATAACATTTCCAAAATTCGTGTGGTAGAAATTATAGATAGAAGGGGCTCGGGGGACCAAAGACCTACTCTGCTCTCTCTGAAGTTTCAGCTACCATAGCTCTTGTTTTATAATGGGGAAAAATCTCAATTCGGGAAACGCAGATCTGGTCTCTAAAACAGTGTCCAACGTCCTGATCTTCTTCCACCAGGTCCAGCCCATCACACCAAAAAAGCCTGGGGTCTTGGCACAGGACAGGAGGGGGGATAAGGGGGAATGCGTAGAGTTTTCCTTACTCCCAGTCGTGGGGGGATGCAGGGGGGGATGGTTTTCCGCGGAAACAATTCGTATGACAGGTGTACTACGACTGTGAGGAACGTTTTGCACACTTTATCTTCGGACTTCCGTAACCTCAGAATCTCAGATCAATGCCAAATCGGCCAGATCAATGTCTCTGTCTCACGCTCCTAGAACAGTCTGAACACCATATAAGATGAAGGTGGACACAGCGGGATAGTCTTGGATTGGGTCCTTGGGCGAGTAGGCGGGACTGGGACTGGCAGCAATGGTGGAACACAGCTAACTGGGGCGCGAGGAGATGTTGGGGCAGGAAGGAGGGCAAACAGCTGTACCGGGTCTATGAGTTGTTTGTCTCGGCGATGGATTTAGCTCTCAATACTCCATGACATGACGCCCGGATGGGGGAAGCTGAGGCCAGCGTGACGTTTACCACGTCGAAGTGTCTCGATCAACTATTCATTGCAGGCCAAAAGGAATTCCGGAAGCAGCAAAGAAAAAGAGTCATCGCGACCAAGCAAGTTCGTTTGTCACTGATGTGCCGTTGCTCGAAAATTCTCCCTCTAGCCCGAGTTTGTCTAGGGGACAATATAGCACTCACGCCTAGTCGGAGGCTTTGGGTGAGACTAGAGCATCCCCCAGAGAGGGTGACGTTGGGCAATGTATGCTGAACCAAACCCCTGCTCGTCGACACCATATAGGTATTTTTAGGCTGCAGTTCGGTGGGACTAAAAGCCCCAGTGAGACTGCGACGGCGCCTACTCTGCCATGATTTTCTGGGTTCTATGGGGGGACGGGTCGGTATACGGCGCCTGGCGAGTGTTTGGGCTGTCTTTCCCAAGCGTCCCCGGGACCACGCTCAGGGCGCAGATTTGCTGACATTGTCTTCCGGGCAGGCGGTGGGACTATTCTCTCCGACCAGTGAGTGCTGGAGTGGTCGTCATGTTTTCGATTGGTATCAATTTCGATCATATCTCTATCCAAACCAATCTGCCAAGACGGCTGATCAGATTACGTGCCTCATAATAATCTTTAACCAACTCGACTGAGATGTGCTGGCTTCAAAATCTTCGGCTACTCATACCGCTTGAACGCGTGTGCTTTGACCCGAGGCGAACCGTTCTGCATTACTCCGAGGCATTGTAGAGAATCCTGTCAAACTGGGACGGGTCTCAGCAGAAAGTGCGCACCGGAATACTAGGCCAGTTCTAACTGCTGGCCCATTCCCAGAATGTAGGCCCCATTCGCCGTCATTGCCATTTGGCTGGAAAGTCTAGAGGCAATCCCGCGACTTGAGATGCATTGCGCGTAGGTAACGGGACTTGCCTTCAGCTCGCAGATCCACGAGGATCCATGAGGCACCGCGCCATCCCAATGGCATACAATACAAGTACGTGGATAGAACTGGCCGGCGCCTACATAAGATCACGAGTACACAGAATGGACGACACACATGTTGGTGAGCGAAGTGTAAATACATATGTACACACCATTTCCCGTGCTGAGAGCGTGATTGTGGCTTCCTTGATACAAAGGACACCAGCATGACTACACGCCGCCTCAAAGATCATCAGCAGCGTCCTCTTTCTTCGGAGGCTGGGAGTCGTATCTTGATACATAGAAATGCTTCGCTGCTTAATTTAAACTGGGTGCATATAAAAAGAGTGTCGGAACTGTGTCTCTGGTCAATCATCCTCAAGAAGTCCATCGTCCGCCATTCTCTCAACGCGTATTTATTGCTTGTTTTACTGGCATAGTCCTCTCTTTAAACTAGTATTTTTGACTTCAGTAGTGCTTCTCTCCTGCACCTAACTCACACATTATCACATATAATAAAACGATGTCTGTCCAGAAATGTCTACTCCTAGTTCTTCTCGTAGCCTCGGTTGCATTGGGCCGCACTGTTGTCAACTTGGATCAACGAACGGGCCGGTTGGAGAAAAGGATTCGCGTGCCATTATTTAAAGACCCCCTGAACCGAGTTATTAACGTCAGTTTAAGCCACTTCCTAACTTTCCTTGCTCTCCCGCATGTTTTTTTAAACTCATGTCTGATTACGCGTACGGGCCGATCAGATTGACGATAGGCATTACAAGGACAACTTCCCTGGCGGAATCCATAAGCACCCCAAAAACGAGAAGAACGGGTTCGCGAAAAAGAAATACTTCACCAAGGAACAAGAAGAGGCGATCTTCGAACAACACCAGAAGGTGAATTTGGCGAAGGAAAAACTTGACGAGGCGATTGCGAAGCAACAACAGAGTCGAAATTCGGGGAGTGAAGAAAGGGCTAAGGCTCAAGAGCGAGTTGATTCTGCGCAGAGAAAACTCATCGAAGAGATCACAAAACTTGAACAGCTTCGAGGTGGTAACTGAGACAATGTAATTCGGAATTCGGCAAGACGACATATCCCGCTGATCTATTTTCAATCCTTGAAAGTTTAGCAAACACCAACAGACTGCCAAGAATATTTGATCTTCAGTTACCTAACAGTAAACACAAAGTGTTCTATGTCACCGTATCAGCCTATCTCATAGTTTGTTTACTTTATTATTCCCTTTACTTGATATCTCAAGACGTGACATTGTTATACCTGGTTAAATTTTATGTGGCTTCAAGAAAGCATCTTTTTATCCTTTCCTTTGACAGATACACTTGAGGAAGATTTAGCTCAACCTATAAGCAACCACATTGTAGTTTCTTTGAATTTAATAGTAACTTAACAGTGGTTTAAGAATAAAATTTGTGACAGTATTGCGAGCAGTCTCTGAATAATTACATAGTTGAACCACCAGTCCTCTCTGAATAATTACATAGTTTAACCACCAGTCCTATCCAGGGCACACAGGAGTGCAGAAAAGGTTGGTTAGCTGCTGCAGCCACCGTTCAAACCAGCTTGTTTGACCCATGACTGCTGGCAGATTCCAAGAATATGGTTTGAGAACCTCAGCGTGTTTGTTTTTGTAGAAGACAAGCATGTATTCCCTCTGAGTCTATGTATTTCTTTAAGGAAATTGATGAGCTTTTCTGATCTTTTAAATTCAATTTTGGATTCAATCAAAACAGAGAGGAAGTGTTTGACCTAGGGATGTGGATTGAGAATTGTGTTGTACTGTCAGTTTGGGGACTCATTCTCACCCTGCTGCGGAAAAGCTGGAGTCCTGGACACATGGTACTGTGAGATGGACAAGGTTCAAAACCTAGATCATGTTGAATTGAATGTATAAAAGGGTCTCTCATTCTTCAATGATTGTTTTTATTCTCTTCATCCAGTTTCTCTAGTCTTTTATTCTCTTGTCTCACTTGTCACTTTTGCATATCTTGTACCACTTGCCCCAGGTCTGTTCCTGATTTCTCATCTCACATTTCTCTCTGTCAGCTCTGGTCTCTTATGTGACTAAGAGTTGATGGGATAAAAGGTCACACTATAGCCCAAGAGTGGCCAGTGGAAATAAAGTCCAACTCAACACTGATACAGTGGAGGGACTAGCTCCTTATAAGAATAAGGGACAGCTGTGGAATGAGCTTCACAGTGCCTGAGCTTAAGAGAGTAAGAAGAATAGAGTTTGTACTAGTCTTATAAGTTAATAAGTTAACTTATAAGGACTAGTAATGAGATAAAGAGAAAGGTACAACAAGTTTTGTAGATAATATATTACTAAAAAACCCCACTCACTAAGTATATGTTTTAGTAAGGTTGTTGGGTGGTATGGTAATATTGTCTGGGGGATGAATCTCAGGGGGAGAGCCATCCTCTTAAATATTACAGAGCAGGGGTCAATCTGCTCCTGGGACCGGTGCAGTCCCCTTATTGTTACACTTTTCCTTGGGGGAAAGTGTCAGGATATTCAGAGCATGATAAATGTACATGTGCTGAATATCCTTTATTTCAGAAAATACCATAAGAAAGATAAACATAATAATCATACACACAAGAGAGGTAAATAGGATAATCATCTCTTGGATACACCCAGGAGATAATTATCCTTTTCAACTTGATTATAATTTTCATGAAAGAGGTAAATTAATAAAGAGGTGAATCTTTATTAATTTACAGAATAACTAGTATATGCCCCCAAATTTGGGGAGGCTGCTTGTTTTTGCCCCGGATGTTGGGGGTTTTGCTCGATGTCCTTTGGGGTTTTGTTGAGTTGGACACCTGTCTGCCTCGATCTAACTCCGGCGTCGACAAATCCAACAAATGTGAATTGGAGGTCGACGCCGGCGTTAGATTGCATGACAGTTTGTTTGGCTCTCTAAGCCTATTTTTTTAGTTATATGCAGATTATTAACATAAAAAATACATGTAAAAAGGGATAACAATATTTTATAATTATTAACTTAAAGATTACATATAATAATAATTGTTATGTAACCCAAGGGGGTTACATTCTATTGTAGACACCTGGGCTAGTGTCTCGGTGTCTGACACTCTCTCTAGTGTTGTTCTTTTTCTCATCTTAATTTATTCCTAGTTTTGCTTGTTCTCACTCTCATCTTTAGTTCACACAAGTGGTGACCTAATGCCCCGGTTCAGAAACCACTAGTATTACGCTAAGGTTCTTTAAATTGTTGCAATCATTTGATAGCTTGATAGTCTGAGTTTCCATATGGTAGAAAGCTTGAGGAGGTTCACCCTTCATTTTCCCAGTAAGCTTCATCCATTGGAAGCTTATATGCATGTTGCCCAACAATCTTAGATATCAACCACATTGTCTACTTTGAGTCAGATGATGGGTTGGGGACAAATCTTTAGACCATCTCCACTGCCCAACAAAAACTATCCTATCCTTGAGGGAGCTATGATATTAGTATAAAAGGTTCCCCCCTATTCACCTTCCCAGATCCATAGTTTGACTGGTCATTACCAGTAATCAAATGGAATATGGAAAAACCCCTCTTGAAGCTCTTTTATCATTGAAGGGAGTCTGAGGTGTTGTAAATATTATCTGCAGATTATTCTACATGTTTCCTCATGTTTTGGTTCTTGTTCTAACATAGACAAGTGAAAACTGAAGGACATTGATGGTGGCAATGAAAACAATTCAGGGCAATTATGAAATATAAACTGTGTGGTAGGGTGGATTGGAGGAGCTATCTAAATGTCAACAGGGCTACAAATGTCAAGCAGCTATAGCTTTGGGAAGGCTCCTGTTGGTCCTGATTTCTAATTTAGCCCACAAAGCTAACTTTGATTTTTATTGGGTGGGAAGAGCTTGACTTCAATCAACTTTTACCAGCAAATAAAGCTCAGCATTGTGATTTGAGAGGTCTAAATTGAGGGCACCAGATCAACCAAAAGTCCTCTGGTTTCTGGGACCCAAATTTGACAGTGCCAAATTTTATCTCTTGCAATAGGACAGTTAACAAATTTGAATAAAATCTGGTTGATTTCAGATAAAGTTTCTGCCTGCTGGTTTTTTTTTATAAAAAGAAACAACAAACAAAACAAGTGTGCAAACTCAAATAGCTCTGCTTGTTTCATGCAAACAGTTTGCTGGAAATTTTCAAATGTCAACTGTCCTAATCCAGATGTTTAAATGTGTACTAGAGGACTTCCCGTCAACATCTGCGGGTCTCCCAGAGTCGATTTAGAGCCTCGAAATTCAAATTCCTCTGCGAGAATTAAGAGTTTTCGGGTCTAGATCAACTTAATCTGCGAGGGTCCCAGATCCGATGGGAAGTCCTCCACTATGCTTGCTTGTGTTGAATATTAAATCACTTGAGGGCTTCCAGAGGGCCAGCCCAAGAATAAAAAAAAATGTGTCAAACTAGGCAAAAGATCAGGTTTTTTTCAAAAAAAAAAATAACCAAGGGCCAGTTTGCTTGAAAAGCTTGAAAGAAAAAAATTGAATAGTTAACTTACATATGTCTGTATGTCTTGACCTGGAAATGTGCATCTAGAATACATAAATCAAATATAACAGACCAAATAAACAAGATGATTGAAAAGGTATTCAAGAATTAAGGATGTTCAAACCCACAAAATGTTCAGCAGTGAATAAGTACTTACTAATCTATCCAAAAAAAAAGATAAATAACAATATCACAGAGCAAGAAAGTTATAGTCCATCTTCAAAGGTTGGTTAACAGTTTTTTGAGGCAAGTTGGTTATTGTGGACTATTTTAGTCATTCTAGTGGTCGTTGTATTTACAATCTTCTTCTGCTTGAACATATTTCTAGTTGTGGGCTGTGGGCTGTGCTGTGCTTGCAGTGTTATTTTTGAACCGAGTCACCGACTGCAAAACGGAGTGATCCGTAGGATCTCAGCTGAGTGATCTTCCAGGTTTTTTCAATCGATTGATTTTTTTTGTACACCAAGGAGAGAAACAGAACTTGATGAGGATCAATCGATTTTGGATCTGAGAGTGGGTCGATTAATCAAGGAGCTTAAGCGATTGGGTCAACACGTCATCGAATACATTACCGCCAACCTGAGGCTGAACCAACCAGATAACGGGTTAGCACAATATTTTCGAACAACCACAATCATCATCTCGACCGTCCACAACAATCAAGATGTCGGCCTCATCCCCACATCGGAAACGAGAGCCCGAGTCAGTGTGGGACTACCCGCGTCCGCCCGCGCTGGTCCCGACGACCGCTCACCTGCGGGTGCTCCATGCGGAGCCGGATGCGAATGGACAAGAGGTGGTCGTCGCCGACACTTGCAAGGGGCTCCGAGTCCTCGAACCGAGCCATCCTCCGACGTGAGTCCATGTTCATGATCATCGAGATATGTCATGTGCTCCCACACATCACCTTTTTCCTACATATCTTGCTTTTAAAGAGGGGAGAAAGCTTCTGACCACACCCTGTCCGTGTTGCATTTGGGCCATCTGTACATGGTTTGAAGGTACTACTTCCCGCCAGAAGATGTCCAGATGTGTCTCCTACACGAGAACCCAAAGCAGACCTTCTGCGAATGGAAAGGCCATGCAAGCTACTACGACCTCGTCCATCCGGCCTCCAACACGGCCTCCAAAGCGGGTCGCCTGGACTTACAAATCCCCCTCCGATCAGAACAAGGCGCTGGCTAACCATGTCGCGTTCTATCCCGGCGGTCCTCTCAGATGTGTGGGTCTCTTATCTATTCAGATCCATGTCTCAAAACTTACCGATCCCAAACCAGTCTTGTCTTGTATTTTTCTGATTGGGCTCCGCTAATTCATTTTCTTCTTCAAAAACATTATTCTCATAATTTGTTGTCTGGCTCTAACTATCAGTTTGTAGATGATGAAGAGGCAACCGCCCAGGATGGAAACTTCTATGGTAAGCCCGAAAGCCAAACAAAACTCGCAAGATAAGCTTTCTCAATTTGTTTTAATGGCGACTTGTGTGTGTTGATTTCATGTTAGGCGGTTGGAAGACATCTGAGATCAGTGGTGGGAAGAAAGGTATGAAGGGTGGTCCTGGAACCCTTGGATGGTAATCATCATCATCCACACGTTTATCAGTTTATGCAGGTGAATACATAGATCTCCATATAATCTTTCGTTTCATAGATAAGGAATCCAAACTGAACTCGACAAAGCATCTCCCTCCTTGCAGCAGACAGGTACATATCTTGTTTCCCAGGTATCCGGGATAATTCCCCAAGTAGCAGAAATTTCTATGTAACCACGATTATTGTTTGTAAATCTTGTAAATAAATCCAGTGAAGGATGCCAATGACTAATGAGTGAGATGAGAGCCTTCTTAGCCCAACCCCACGAATCCCATTGACTTCCAAGTGGAACCCAAACGAAAGCTGGACAAATAACCGTCCCATGTTCTCGTTGTTTGAAGCCAACTCGGCCAAACTGAACAGCAAGTATGCGTCTGGATGGTCATTTATGCTTGAACTGCTAGTGAACTATATGGTAATGAACTAAGAGGCCAGAAAGCACTCAAAAGAGCTATACATACGTGTATGTTGAGGAGTGGATATATAGCAGTTTGATCTTGATCTTGACACAGACATAAAAGCAGGAAGAGACGCAAACAATTTTGAACCTTTTGAGGATTTTGAAACAAGCCAGATAGTGACGAGATGGAACATGCGTACAAATCAGGGATATAAGCAAGCAAGAGCAGTGGCGATAAGAGCGAACAAAAACTAGAGATCAAGCCAGGAAGAGCTGATGGAAGACCATAGCAACGAGCCAAGGAATGCAAAGTTTAGCCCAAAGTTCAGATCGATAGACGGGTGGGATCGAGGTGGTGGCACGGCTAGGATGACGGTGACGGTTATGGAACGGGAACTTGGTCACCCCATTGGCCTTGTTCAATCGGTCCAACGCCAAGATCGAAAAATGTCCCCTGCAGCCATCACGGTGAAATCACATTCATCAAAACCAAAACAAAGGCACCGAGACGTAAGAAAAAACTTTTGATCGATAGGCTTGATTGTTGTTGTAGGGGGGGAAGAAAGAAGCATACCCGGAAACCGGCCTGTTGATGAATTCAATCCTCCAAGTCGAAGTCTTAGATCGGCCGGGGAATTCAGCTGTTTCAGTCTCATAAAGGCTAAGAAGAGAACGATTTGTTGCAAGACTTCAGTTTAGTTTTTCTCTCCTCATGAGATTAGAAACATATGATGAATTGAAAGGATGTATAAGTAATGATTTGGGGCTTGATGGCTGGTACTCAACTCAGGAAACCCGGCATTGACTTTGTTCGCCTTGAGGAAATCGACCAATTTGTTCATGAACAGGTCTCGTGTTTGGATCGTCACTGCAGCGCCAGCGGCAAACATTTGCCAATCCGTTTTTGCCCACTTTTGATTCGGTTCACAAGAAAGGATTGTACGAATCCAATGACGATCAAGTAGGTGGTCAAAGATGTTAGTATTTATCATGTTCGCAAGGTACCTGAGGATTGTCACAAGCAACCGTCAAAAAAGCAAAACTGACAGTATGGCGACTGTCCAATGGAACTCCGAATTGGTTAGCGACGGACGGATAGAAATCATCTTGGATGCGGTAGATTCGCTCTGGAATCAGTTTCAGATTCAAGAGCCGATCCTAAATAATATAAAAACGGGATTGAGTCCTCAAGTCAAGATGACGAGCGATTCTCGAAAAGACAGAATAAAAAAAACTGAACTCCGAACAAATTATAGAGTGTTCCCCAAGAGTCGTGGAGTTGATATGCGAGTTTAGTGTGATTGCGACTCTCGCTGAGAGAGAAGCCGATCCAATGATCGACGTACTGCTCTGCAATATTTCTGAAGCTCTCGCCCTCCTCTTTGTAGCCGCTCTTGTGCGCGATCTCAGCCATCGCGCCGATCCCGACGATCGCCTTCAGAGCCAAGTTGGTCTGGTTGGCCAACGTCCCTGCAAAGTCGTCCGTCGATAACTGCTCGGCTGGGATCAGTCCGTCATCGACTAAAAACCCGGCCCATTGTTTCAGGATCACATAGTGCTTCACTAGCCATTCGTCGTCATTTGTTAGTTGGTAGTACGCCTGTTGTTTGTGGCCACATACGTCCCCAAAACCCATCAGTCTATTGGTCACACCCATGGTCGGATACCCAACAAGTATTGAAGACGTACGAGTGCCATCATTAGAATGTTTCCTGCTTCTTCTACTGGCATCGGCTCATCTCTACCGTCGTTATGGCCTGTCGCATCTGATCACAATATTTAAACAGTCAAAATGGAGTCTGGGTTGAACAGACAGTAGACTTACTTGGATATCGACCTAAGTCATGAACGGTCCTGCAGCCAGATTGTGGAACCCGATGGGGAGGGGGGGTTGAGCAACTTCCATCCATCAGACAGCAAGGGCTATGGTGTAATTGACTCACCATCGATTGGGGTATAACCCGCTTTGACTATACTTGAAAAGCGGCTCGAGTAGTAGTTTCAACAGTTGAGGGTCAAGATAAGCGAGCGCCGGGAATTGGGCTGGTCAAAGTTTCGATAGATGAATTGGAGTCAGATGTTTTTGATTTAGGATGGAAAGAGGATAGGAAACTCACGAAAGATGACATCGACAGTCTAGTTTATCGAACGAGCAAGTTTGAGCGTTTGAGTAAATAATCCAATTGACAGAAGGGGGTAGTAGGGAGACGCTTGCTTATGATCTAGGTACGTACACTCATGTCGCCGTTGCTCGAGATTTCCTTGAGGAATGCGGCTACATCATTAGAATCGTAGTTCCCATCTTCGTCTTTACCGATCGTAAGTTCCATTGCACCGAGAGCCTGACGGGCGCTGAGACTAGCGATCGCCACATAATCATCGCCTCCTAGTTTGCGGGCATCGTCCTCGATCTTCTTGTCGATGAAGTCCGCATAGCGAACGGCTGCAGGATAATCCTTCAGGGAGAATGCGATGGCCTCGTCGGTCTGGTTGAATACACTCCTCCAATAGCCCCACTTTTCGCACAGCTTGCCCTCTGGATGGTGTCGGTTGGCTTTCTCGATCGACTGGACATATGGATCTCGGACGTGTCCGATCACGAAGACGACAGATTTGTTGTTCCGGGTCAGCGGGAGCGAAAATCCTAAGCCAGCGGTCTGATCTGATATCTTGCGGTATTCTTCATCTTGATCCCCATTTAATTTGCCGTGACTGACAAAATGGGATCGAAGTTGAGATGCGACACCAGATGCTGTGGTCAGGCCCGAAACCTAGTACAAAACAATGGAAGGAAATATCAGCAAGTGAACCATGAATATCCGAGTTCCTCCTAGATGGTTTTAAACAAAGGATCTGATCAGGAGTTGGGCGAGATATAATGAACCTTTTTGGTAGCGTAGATCACTTGGCCCCACTCTGCGTATTCATACTGTTCGGCGAACTTGAGCTGATCTTTCCGGCCGAGCTTATAGGCAACCGAATGATTGAAATGATCGATGGACCAAGTAGCATTAACGCTATGGTCACCCGAGGCCCAATCGGCCTGGATGTCGGTATAAACGGAGATTCGGTCGGTATGCTTGAGAGTATCTTCGATGAGCTCGACAGCCAGATAACTGAAGGGCAAGCTCTGTCGGAGGAGGTCGCCTTCTGGGGCGATTGGGCTCAAGAAGGTGACGAGGAAGCGGATCCCAGCGGCTTCAAATTCGAAGATACTCCTGCTGGAGGTGTATCGGAAGCCTCGTTGGGTGGCTCGACGGTGCCGGTTTCCGATGAAATCCTCGTTGGGGCGCCCCATAAACTCGTAGGTTTCCCCGTTGACTTGGATGAGTCCTGCCCATCCTAGCCTGTAAGCAAACGGGTTCTGTGGGAATTGGATCGGCCAGAATTGGGCCCATCGACCAGCGAGATATCCGCCATTACCGCCCTCCTGTCCTGTTGCAAGCCAGGCCGAGAGATCTAATGATAGTTTTTTTTTTTTTTTTTTCTGGTCAGTCATCCGATTGGAAATCCAATATCTAAGAGAAAGAAAACCACACTCAACAGGGTGATTTGACCGCAAGCGGGATGGCAGGTGGTAGGAGCGGGTAGAAGCTGGAGGAGTTGTTGGTAAGATAGTCGGAGGCAGCTAGGGCTGAGTCTGGTCTGGGTTGGAGGATGAGTGGGTGTTGGGTTTGGAGTGAGTTGATGAGCTTGGTGGGGAGCAGTAGTGGTAGTAGCAGTGGTAGGCCCAGCAGGCCCCGATGAGCTTGAGACAGCCTCATGTTTGACTGGCTTATCCCTGGTGGTAATACTGAGACTGGTGCAAAAATCGGAAATCAAGCAACCTGGAAATGAATCTGGATGAGAAGAAACTGAAAAATCAGAAACCAACAAGGTTTACATATTTAAATACCCAACTGAGAATCTCATCCAACACTGTGTAGACTTCTCATGGACAACATCATCAGTCAACTTCAAGACGGAGCTGCCAGAGGTGATCTCACCAACAGAGATCACCCACTCACATTATTCTCCATCGCTGGGAAAGTCCAGATGGAGAATGGTTGTATTGTGAGCAATCCTCAGTAGCAACGGTGCCACAGATACGAGACATGTATTTGTATCGGATTGTATCGTATTTATTTTGAGCCTGATACCGGTATCAGTATTTCCTTGGTTGGTGAAAAAATACATTGTATTAGCGGGGTTCACAATAAGCTTTTTGCTTCCTGAACCCGGCTTAACTTTTTCCTGGATCCTGAAAACCTGAGCTTAATTTAAGGCTTAATTTAAGCTCAGAATCCCAACTCAGGAACCTCTAAGGCTTCCTGAGCTCAGGAAGCTTTAAGGGTTCCTGAGGGCAAATTAAGGCTTAAACTTCACAAAATCTTTCCTCAATAGCGGGGTTCACAATAAGCTTTTTGCTTCCTGAACCTGGCTTATATGTTTCCTGAATTATGAAATCCTGAGCTTAATTTAAGCCTCTATTTAAGCTCAGAATCCCAACTCAGGAACCTCTAAGGCTTCCTGAGCTCAGGAAGCTTTAAGGGTTCCTGAGTGCAGATTAAGGCTTAAACTTCACTCAACCTTTCCTCGATCGGTTAAATATTAAGCTTAATTTTGTCTAAAAATTAAGCCAAGGTTTGAGCGCTCCCAATTACTGAGTAGCTTGATTTTCTTCCTGAAAAGATCCTATCATGAACCCCGCTAATCGGTTAAATATTAAGCTTAATTTTGTCCAAAAATTAAGCCAAGGTTTGAGCGCTCCCAAATACTGAGTAGCTTGCTTTTCTTCCTGACAAAATCCTATCATGAACCCCGCTATTGGATTTGGATTTAAAAATGAAAAAAAAAAAAAAAAATTCGTCTTCGTTTTTTTTCGTTTTTTCTTCAATACAGCCAAATATCTTATGTATCAAATACAGTTTTGGTGGGATCAGTCATCTGAGACGATACAGAATACATTTCTCACTTTTCAAATACGATACATGTATATGTCTCAGGAAAGTGAGACAACACAAATCCGGTATTTTTGGGTATTCCAATTCTAAGACGATACAGATAAACGCCTGATACCGTATCGTATCGTCTCTGTGGCACCGTTGTCAGTAGTATTCCTCAGTTTCCTCTGCTGCACCATCCCTTCCTCTTGAAATATCAAAAGTAAAACTTACCATATGGCATGAAAATTCAATTTTTCATAATTTTTCATAATTTATATTCCTCAAATTCTCATATACATACTCAAAAGTGACCATGACCAAAGGCCATTTATAAGCTCAAACATGAAGAATTTCAACACCAGGTATCTTCAATTATTTTGGATTTTTCTGCATATATTTCGTTTGAAAAATGATACGCAATCCTTGACAAGAACATACAAGAAAGCTTGCAGCACTTCTCTCTATAGTTTGGTAAACAAAAAAGTACAGACCTAGACCAATGGTGACTTTACACGATGAAAAATGGTTCTACAGACAGCACTACAAATACGACTTTTGTGCACATGGAGGGGAAACCATTAAAAATGTTGATCACAGTTTGGGCCCGCCTGCCTCGACTTCTGCCTCGGCGCGCACGACGCCCTCTTGAGCCTTTTTGTCCCCCAAGAAAAGATCCAAGTAAAAAAGAGTCCGAAAATTTGTAACCCAAAATCAGAGACTCACACAAACTGCGATTAGTCTACCATCACGCGCATAGATCCGACCAATCACTAGACCTCGCCCGTCCTTTGCGGTTTCTGCTTCCATCTTGTAGAGCATCCATTCACTGACATCGAAATCACTGCAACATCAAAAGTGATACACATAGCGTGGGCTCAGCTATCATCGGGAGGAGCACGTAAAGGGATGAGCAAAGGCGAAGGAGTCTCAACTGGTCGCAGAAGAACATCGAGTGGCTGATCGAAACTAGCATTGATGCTCTGGGTGTAGGCCCTCCGGGAGAGTGCAGCCCCATGCCAATCCGGACGGTATCAATAAACCCAAAGCTAAAACCGTGTTCGAAAGCTTCAGTGACAAGATTTACTAGAGCACTCATCCGCGGAGCGGGATAGGCGAAAGTACTTACTCCGAGGCGTACGCAAGTATCAGCTTTTGGTAAGCTGGATCAGAGCGGATTTTGGCACGGGCCCGAAACCAATACGCCTGACTGAATAAACAACAAACGATTGGTAGATTAGTCAAATTTAGGGACAGATTAGGAGGTAGGGGAGGGTCTGTAAACTGACGAGGAGCCATGATTCTTTGAATAGAATTGTTCTGATCGAGTGTCCCGATGCTCAATCGCATTGGCTTTGATCTGCTTGATCAATTGCTCAACAAAGCCGAGAACATCGGGCGGGATGGATTGTCTGTTCTGGTCGAGATGATTTTGGAGAGAGAATTCTAGAGAGTGGCAGTTCTCTGGACCGATGACCTCGCTTATATCGATCGTCGTTTGGAAGCTTGGTTGGTTGATTTCTGGGCGATGGAACGAAACAAGCAGGCTAAAAATGCATCGTGATTTTTGGATGGCTTTGACGGACCGGGTCACGTAGGAGTTGCCGTCTCGGATCCTCTCTACCGTGTAATCTATCCCGCTCGGTATACTGGCATCGGCAAAGCCCGAGAAATAGCACTTCCCACCAGTATTATATGGTCCAGATGGAAATCAAAATAGGCACTCAGCTTGGCCGTCCCGCCCCAACCGGTCTCCCGCTTAACTTGGAATTCACTTACATGAAGCGAGTGGAGATGAAGCCCAGCCTGAACGGTCTTGGTTGCTGCATGGGTAGCTTGAGCAATGATGATCCCCCCAAACACGTTGGTACCGCTATCTAATTTCCAGAGCTAAGCCATCGATAGGAAGCATGAGCCCAGCTGGCGGAACAGGAGCCCAGCCCAGGGGCAGGATGCTCCTCTGATAGTCGACATACCTTGACTGGTTTGAACATGTCCTTCTCCATCTCTTGTAAGTCCACAAGCTCCTCGATATGCTGTCCCTGCTTTGATAAAACCATCTCGAGCGACTGGGGTGGGTACTGGAGGGACAATCATGAGTAGCTGTTCGAAATGGGTTGCTTTTAAGATGCCACAAGCGGTCTACACTGTGACATATGATAGGGCGGAACAGACTATTTATCTCCTGCCGGTAAATCGTTAAAATTAAAGTAATCATCAGTACTGACAAAAGAAAGGGCTATACATATAACATTGCAAAAGCCTCAGGCGTAAATCCTATTGAAATATACTGGCCCGCAAAAACATACAGTATTGTTGTTACAGCATGTGGGGCCGGATGGAAAGTGCCCCCCGGACACACAGACCGGCGGGAGATAACGATGGAGTCGAGTCGGCAAGCGGAATGATGGCACTAAAAGTTCGGCACAGCCCCGGTGCCGGAGACCGGGCCGGCTGCTTTGCACGGGTCTTGACTCTTATGCACACAGAACAAATCCAGTACTGGTGGCTGTATGTATGTACTCAACCAGTCACATCAAACGGCTCATCAGCACCTCCCTGCCAAGGGCTTCTTGGTACTTCCTTCTAAACACCATGCTGAAACCTTCCATTGGACTTCCGCCTAGACGGTTTTTCCTTCTTGAACCTGTTCCAGGCTGTTCCGGGTAGAGATGCACGGCGCTGCAATTCACATAAGAGCGCGAAATCGAGGCAGGCTCAGGTAGCGCTGCACGGCACTGCATTCGTGAGGAACATGGACTCCGTCCTCGGTCCGAGGTCACGAAGGAAGCCACATAGTAACTAGTAACAAAATCCTTAGGAGGCGAGGAGATCCTCGGCAGGGCCACCTCCGAGTCCTAAAAAAAGAAAGAAAAAAAAATACCTGCGATGAGCTTGTAACTAAGGCCACTTGGAAACGTAAGCTTTTGTCCCCAAGGCTCCAGAGTCCATTTGCCTTTTCGTTCGCATGATGGGCAATGCTCTGCATCGACAATCCTAGGGCTCATCGTGTATCATTCCATCAGTGTATCATTCAGTCATTTTAAAAGTTTAAAACACGTGTTTTGAGAGGCCTTGGAAGATCACCACCGCCATTAAATAACTTCAGTCTCAACACTCAACACAACTCTGGAGCGAGGTTGCTAGGATTGCCTTCAGATCCTTCCAACTCATTCATTGAATTGGCATTATATACTTCTCCCGAAATTACATACTTAAGTTGCCTGACAACACCCCTATTTTATCAAGTATATCTTGTCTTACAAATCGATCATGGAGCTGCCTATAATTTTCGGGCGGAACACTCGCCTACTTCAACAGCTATCTTCCGCTCTTCTATTCTTCACTATTCTCGCTTGTCCAACCTCAGGAGCTTCAATGTCTACCAAGTCTCTTTCTGCATCCCAGCCTGATACTACCTCCACATTTCATCCTCTCTTACCACCTGCTATCCCCTTAGCTGTCAAATCACCCTGTTGAGCTTCAATCCTTTCTTTTCATTCCATGAATTGACGTCTGTTATCAGCTCACTAATCCTTCCAAAAAATCATTTCATTTTCGCAGATCTATCGGCATGGCTTGCGACTGGTAAAGAAGGTGGGAACGGTGGCTATCTAGCTGGCCGTTGGGCTCAATTCTGGCCGATCCAATTCCCTGAAAACCCGACTGCCTATAGATTAGGATGGGCGGGTCTGATTACTGTGAACGGCAAAACATATGAATTCATGGGTCAGCCAAATGACGACGATATTGGAAATGGAAATCTTCGTGCCACCCAGCTCTCATTCAACTGTACCCCAAGTCAAAGCGTTTTCAAATTCGAAGCCGGCGGGGTTCACTTCCTGGTCACCTTCTTGAGCCCGTTGCCGACTGCAGGCGATCTAGTCAGACAAAGTTTACCATTTAGCTATTTGTCAATTGAACTCCTTGATGAGCAAGCCTCGAGTTCCTCGAAAGACGATCAAGTGATCGTTTATACGGATATCCAAGCGGATTGGGCCTCTGGGGATCATAGCGTCACTGCCACTTGGTCGCACACTGATTCTGAAAAATTCGTCAGCTACCAAGTCGGCCGGAAAGATCAATTGCTATTCTCTGAAAATAATGAATATGCCGAATGGGGACAAGCTATTTATGCTACTCCAAAAGTAACGTCTTGAAATTTCATAGCAAAATCATAGCCTGGTTGATTCTGATGTCTTCGCGCTGTTGCTTTCAACAGATATCAGGCTTGACAACAGCATCTGGTGTAGCCTCCGCACTTCGAAAGGAGTTTGTTAGCCAAGGGAAATTGAGTGGAACGCAAGACACCGAGTTTAGGGCCATCTCCGACCGAACTGCGGGCTTTGGATATTCAGCACCACTCACTCGAGGCCAGCCTGTAGTATTTTCCATTGGACATGTGCGCGACCCATACGTGCAGTCGATTGAGAAGGTCCCAGGAGGAGACGCCCAGGGAACCATGGTACAAAAGTGGGGTTATTGGAGGAGCAAATTCAGTCAAACGTCCGATGCAATCAGCTTTTTCTTGGAAGATTATTCAAAAGCCATCCAAGCTGCACGCGACATCGACAAAAAAATCACAGAGGACGCGAAGAGGCTCGGAGGAGATGACTATGTCGCCATCGTCAGTCTGAGTGCTCGTCAAGCCTTGGGCGCCCTGGAAATCACAATTGGCAAAGACTCGGCTGGAAAGTTCGATGATTCTGATGTGGCTGCCTTCTTGAAAGAGATATCTAGCAATGGCGATATGAGCGTAAGCGCTTCCACTTATCGCTCCTTGTTGATGTTGGTCGACTTACAAACCGTTTTCTAATCCCGTAATATTATCGCATATGGTCACAAATTCATATCTCGCTAGACTGTCGACGTCATCTTCCGTGAGCTTACTTTTTCCAACATTCATTTCGTGAAATGAAGTTCAGCTCTGCTATGCCACTAACTTGCTTTTTTCCATAATCATTTCCATTAGCGCAATTCCCTATCCTCACTTACCTTGATCCAGCATTGTTGAAATTAAGCTTGGAACCAATTTTCAAGTACACTGAAAGCGGTTTATACCCAAACAGATGGTAAGAAATATTCAATAGCTTCCCCCTCCCCCATTGCCTTCATTTTTCACGCGTTTTTCTATCTCGTTTCAAACTGTCGGAGCTGAGCTTTGTCTGATCTTGATTTTTCTGCCGCTCTCCACAGGACTGTTCATGACTTGGGCCGATACCCGAGTAAGTCTTAAATTTTCCGCAGCTTACCAATCTGACTTGCACTAACTTTAACCTTCCCCTTCAGATGCAACTGGTCACAATGACGGCAAGGACGAGTCAATGCCAGTGGAAGAAGCAGGAAACGTGATGATCATGGTTCTCGTAAGTAGTCTTTATGAACTTCAGGGTGCACATCTCAAAATTGATTATTTTGACGATCCAAAAATCCTCTATTCTTGCTTGGGATATAACAGTCTTATTACCAACTAACAAAGGATGTAGAATGGCTAAAAAAGCATTACAACACCTTAACACAATGGACGAAGTTCTTGATCGATGATGGGTTGGTTCCGGCAGAGCAATTATCCTCGGATGATTTTGCAGGGAAGCTTGCCAACCAGACTAACTTGGCATTGAAAGCAATCGTCGGCATCGGCGCCATGGCTCAGATTGCGACAGCCACCGGTGATACAGAGACCGGAACCAAGCTGAGATCAACAGCTGAGGATTATATCTCCAAATGGACTAAATTCGCCCTGGCTGATAACGGCAAACATACAAAACTCGCCTATCAACTCGATGATTCTTGGGGAACTCTATACAACTTATTTGCAGTTGAGTCCTCTCATTGTTCGTGCGAGTCCCCGAGAGCTTGATTCTCAAGAAGGAGTAACTGACCCCACCCAACTATAACTGAAAAAAAAATAGGACCGACTGTTAAACTTGAAATTAGCACCTCAATCAATTTATGAAACACAAGACAAATTTTACCCTACGGTTTCCAATGATTATGGTGTTCCATTAGACAGTCGACATACCGTTAGTCATGAGGCTCCCATTCTTTGCTAATGGAGGCCTTTTACTTGATTTCTGATCATCTCCATTTCTATGCACATGCTTGCCGTTGGTTAAAATCACAGTGGGCCAAAACAGATTGGCAGATGTTTGCAGCAGGAGCTTCAGTAAGCACTGAGACTCGAGACCTGTTCACAAGCAAACTAGTCAAATACTTGCAAGCCAACAAGGTCAACGCTGGATTCCCTGAGTTGAGTGTCATCTTCCTCAGCCTGGCCCGTTTATTCACTTTCATCTTCATTGCAAGCAAACACTGACTTTTTCTGCTCACATTCTTGTTTGGATTTTGTTTACAGTCTTTACGAAACGCAAACTGCTGAGTACCCAGGAAGATCAAGCACGTCTACGTGGAAGATTCAATTCATCAATCGACCCGTCGTTGGGTAAGAATCTTCAACTTGTTCAATTATCTCATAATTCCCAATCCGCACCACCAAAGTTAATCCAAAAGAATCCACTAATCTTTTACCATTCGTTGCTTGTGCTTCACAGTGGACACTTTGCTATTTTAGCATTGGATAAAGCAAATCAAGCTAACGGCGTGACCGAATTTCCATTCAAGAACCGGGGCTCCTGAATCAAAGTTAAAACCCACTCAATTCCTTGCATCAATTCAACTCAAGACCGAAAATGGACGTGGACTCTTTCAAAAGAAACCCTCATGATACCCTAGTACACTTCCCCTCCTCATCATAGTCAATCTGTGACTATTTAACTCGCTGCCTTACTTGATTATCAAAGACGCTATTTGAAAGCCATTGGAGGGACACCCTTCACATCCTCATTTTTTTCCTCTTTTTTGTTTTTGTTGATTCAAAAAAAAAATGTATCTTGATTGTTCTTGCGAAAGCGATGGACGCAAAAAAAATTGGAATATACAGTTATTATACCCCCAAAATCTTTTGTCTGAGTTCCCAAAGACTGTGACATAAAGAACCTGTGTGGATTGGGATTTCGCTGGGCTCAAAGGCTCACCAAACTGGGCTCTGGATCAATCAAGGTTTGAGTGTGATGAACAAGTCGGCTCATTGAAGTGGTTTGGGATTTAGGGATGGTGTGATTTGAAACAGGATTCTCTACGATTGGGGAATGTAAGAATGGGTTGAATTCATCAGTATATTATCTCTTTGGTCGCCACATTCCACAGACCCATCCGAGGTTTTTCAATTCAAAGTGTATAAAAAAATGAGAAGACTAATGTTGTGCTCTGAGTTTTGTTCGACTTCAACAGAATGAAGCTGTGGGCGTATCAAGAGTCTCAAGTAACGCGAATGATTCCTTACAAGCCTTCAGAAATGCAGTACCATCTTTGAACTTAGTCCAGTCACTGTCCACCCAGGCAACTTCATGAAGGTATGTTTTTGCACTTGATAAGAAGAGACCCATAAAAGTTTGGAAACCTTTTTGATACATAAATGGAGGACTGGAGGACTTCCCGTGGGATCTGGGACCCTCACAGTTTCCGATTTAGGCCCAAAAAGTCTAGATTTTTGCAGGGAAATCTAGCTTTTTTGGCTCTAAATTGACACTGGGAGACCCGCAGATGTCGACGGGAAGTCATCCACTTCCCGTCGGATCTGGGACCCTCGCAGAAGTCGATCTAGACCCGAAATCTTTTAATTCTCGAAGAGAAATTTGAATTTCGCGGCTCTAAACCGACTCTGGGAGACCCGCAGATGTTGACGGGAAGTCCTCCAATGCCATCAAATTAGTGTATACTTGCCGTCGTGAACAGAGCTGTTATGCGCCCTCACCATCCCTTAAACCCCCCACACATTCAATTTCAAATCACACACCCTTTTTGTTGGTCTGATGCTTTGACAATCATTTCTCTGAAAGCAATGTTACATATTCAACTCTTGCAATCTACATATAACTAAAAAAATGGCCTCAGAGGACCAAACAAACTGTCTGGCTTCATTCACTATTTCTATTGTTTCTCATGCGGCTTCTAACGCCGGCGTCGATGTTGCACATTTCAATGTCATTTCCGACATTTGCTAAGACTTTACAATCATAGCGACCTTCAAAAGCAAAGGCTATTACACCATGGGACCTTCAAACAAGTAAAACCCCCACATCCGGGGCAAAAACAAGCAGCCTCCCCAAATTTGGGGGCATATACTAGTCTACATATAACTAAAAAAATGGCCTCAGAGGACCAAACAAACCGTCAGGCTTCAATCAGTATTTCTATTGTTTCTCATGCGGCTTCTAACGCCGGCGTCGATGTTGCACAATTCAATGTCATTTCTGACATTTGCTAGGACTTGACAATCATAGCAACCTTCAAAGGCGAAGGCTATTACAATGACCTTCAAAAGCGAAGTCTATTACACCATATGTAGGACCTTCAAACAAGTAAAACAGGACCCTGGAGACCCCCTATAGAGGTGCCTAACCAAAATGTAGGAATGGGTTTTCACCCTACACAACCACTTTGACTGAACATCAGATGTGCTATCTGGATAGTTGCCACATCAGGACATGTACACCCTCAATGTGCATCCTGTACATGTATTCTTTAGTGGCTAACGTCAACGAGTGAGTTTTAATAACTGAAAAACTAAAAAAAAAAATGTAGCAATTTTTTTCAGATTTTTTTTTTTTTATAGTTTTTTGCTTCTCAAGGCTCACTGGTGAAGATTTACAACTAAAAAGTTCATGGGCTGGATTCACCTTCAGTATGTACATGTCCTGATGTGGCAATTATCCAGATAGCACATCTGATGTTCAGTCAAAGTGGTTGTATACATTTTGACGTTTTGGTTAGGCACCTCTATAGGGGGTCTCCTGGGTCCTAGTAAAACCCCCAACATCTGGGGCAAAAACAAGCAGCCTCCCCAAATTTGGGGGCATATACTAGTATTCTATAAATTTACAAGTAAATGAAAACCACTTTTGAAATCTATGACAAGCTTATAAGAACCACAACTGATCAGGCCCTTCTAAATCCATTAAATCAATGTGTAAAAAGGATTGATGAGCTTGCAGTCGACATCCGCAAAGCTTGCTTTTTTTCTTTTGGCTTTGAAACTCTATTCAAGTACTATGAATATATATTTTGAATGTAACAGGGGGGGAAGAACGAAAAACTGGGAAGGTTTTAATAAAAAGGCGTTAGGTAAGGTGTTATGGCTCATAGTCTTCCGGAACAAAAGGGCAACCCGCTATGAGAATTTTTATTTTCTTTCTTTGTTGATGCTATGTTAAGTCCATTGCCAGGCAATCTACGAACAACCAAAGAGTATGAAAGTAAAACAGATCAGAAGGCTCATATCCAATGATTATATAAGAAGAAGTAAGGAGGAAGGAAACCACTCACGGGCAAGACGCCGTCCTCGAGTTTACCCAAAGCCTTGAAAGCGGAGGGCGAGAGGTCCAAAGAGCCCCAACGACACGAAGGGCACTTCCAATGGGGGGGACAAAAGCCAGACATCAGTGGTCGAGACTAGACAGATAACGATGATACGCAAACCGGGGTGGGGGAGGGTAAAGACTACAACTACAAGGAAGACTGACCTCGTCAAGCACCTTGGCCACGACGCTCTTGCCGTTCGACTTGTTCCTGATGATCACGTTCTTGTGGCACGGCCCACCGGACTTGTACTACGCGACCCAAAAAACAAAATAGTCACCGTCGATCCGACGCGGGGGGCAAGTCAGTGAAGGAAAGAACGGCGGCTGGGTATGGATGTGTTGCTGCTCACCTGAGGGCTGTTCATCGCAATCATGTAATCATTCTCTGAGCTCATCTCGCCACATGCGCCCAGGTTCGGACGAAACCAGGTAGCGGTGCCGTGGAAGAGCGCCGACGAGCGGGCGCGTTGGGAGACCGGATGGGCAGCACTCAGGAGTGGCCCGATTAAGGCCAGGAGAAGGATCGTCAGACTCACTAGAACAACGCGGGGCATGGCTGGGCTTGTTGATAGGATGGAGGGAGAAATTATGGCTGACTGACTGGCTGGTGCTGCTGAGCTCGTCGCCCACTCAGCCTTCTTTTTATAAGCGTCCACGAGGTTTCCTGGCTGCTTCCTTGGAAAGCGGTGTGGCCAGAGCAGACCGGCTCATGAGAAGGTCCAGGACACATCCATGATGTCATGATTGCCCAGTCATGCCCAGCCACTGCTCAACGAACGAGTGATCTTGTGCGAGTCTTCACGGAGGACGGCCACAGGGCCAGAGAGAGATCTTGGGGGAGTTGGGAACCGCAATCATCAAACCATGCCCAACCGCGCCCCTCATGGACCCGACGTGAATGCTGCCCCGGGCACTTCTCCAGAGCAGCTCCACGGGTCCAGACTTTCGGAGGTGTTGCCGCGCGCCCGAGTTGGCACGGAAAAAAGGGGGGAAAAAAACCTCAGGGGCGATGGCTTTCTCGAGGAGCGACGAATGATCATTAATGTGCTCGGCTGGCTCGAGTGGTGGACACCATGACATCATGCATTTTGTTGGATTGGTCGTGATCAAGATTGATGTCCATGTATTGAGCACCGTCGAATTCTTTCAGCTCAGTCTGATTCTCCTCGACAAGGGAAATCATCCATTTGAAGATCGATCAGTCTTTATTCGATCGGCCTTCTTCTTTTATCTGCATCAATTGAGGGGGTTCCTCGACAAACAAATTATCAAAACCAACCACGCTGTGCGGGTGCCTTGCCCCTTTTTCACATTCGCGGAGATATCACCCTCGAATGAAATGACACCAACGGATGATAATTGGAACGTGGGAAGGTCGTGAATAGGGTTCAATGTTACGCAGGAAGGCCCCGGAACTGTTTTTCAACGGCAATTTGGAAGTGGAGGGGGCCATATAATATCCGGAACTTCAAATTATTTTTCATCCCAGATCAGGTTCCGCAATTGTTGATTGACTTAATGAACTGAGGTTATGATTTATTTCTCTTTTGTTGAAGAAAACATACACAGCTTGGCCAGGGAGTCAAGTTTAAAAAAACAAATCGAAAAACAGGCGAAAAAGAAGAAGAAGAAGAAGAAAATGGAGCAAGCATCGAGCAGGCTGATAGATAGATCAACTTCAAGTGATTGGGACGAGATGTTCCATACCAACATTGAGCGCGCCAGTGTCGGCATCATCCTCGAAGAGGACCTTATACCTGCGCGCCCTGTCAGAGGGGCCTGATTTGACCTTACCCTTGTAGAAAGTCGTCGTATCAGGATAGAGGCCTAGGACGGTGGTGCCTGGGGGGAGGACTGCTGGAGGATAGGTGTCGGGATGGTCTTTGACTGGCAGTGGGATGATCGACTTGAGCGTCGTGTTCCAGCTGAACTGTTTCGAACCCTTCCGTCCTTCCTCATCTACATCTTCCACTTCATAGCTAAGTCGATGTGTGGAGGTATAGATATATACGCGCATGGGTATCTGAATCATCATCGAGTAATATCTATTGATGCACTTACCGGTTCCTATCTCCAGAGATACATTTGACTACCTTGGCCATGATCCAATGTTCCTCAGCAGGGTGATCAGAGGGTTTCCTAGGGCATTTAAAGGCGACCAAACGGCCGGGGAGCAGTGGGAGTTGATCTCTGAAGGCAACTCGCCTGTCGATTCTCAAGCTGGTCGGCCGGGCACTCATGGTACTCGAGGAGTCGGTCTTCTTGGAGGTGCTCCCGTCGGAGATCGGGGTGCTTGAGCGTGAGCCTACCTGAGATCGAGTCTGGGTTTGGGTGAACATCGGCGGCAGAGAGGAGAGTGGGACGGGTGAGGAGATGCGACTGGCTGGCGAATCCGCATTGGGCTGCTCGCTAGTTGCCTGAGTCTGGCTGTTGGACGTCGATGTGCTTGCGAGTGGTGAGACACCACGATCGCATGAGCCCGCTGAACTAGCCGGTTCCAATCGACGTTTTTTAGTTGAACGACCTATTAACTCATAGACCACACACACAGAAAAAAAAAAAAACATTAGACTTGGATGGTGTGATAGAAATTATAAAAGAAGAGTGATTGAATTGACCTTGCAATGGTGGATCAGGGGGCGCTTCCCGAAGAGCAATCAAGATCCCGAGCCTTTCGAGGCAAACATCCAAGATCCTGTGAGAAGGGAAAGAGGGTGTGATTAGAAGCTTTGCTGCAGACTGTTTGAGGAGCTAAGATCGGATTGACGAGTCGAGGACCTACCCGAGCTCATCGGTGACGTGTCTGGAGAGAGTGTCGAGTGAAGCGGAGATGGACTCATGGGGGGCAAGAAGTTTGGAGAGTTGGAGGGCAGACTGGCTGGTGCGGTCCTGGGCTGCGATGAGTTGGTTTAGGCGTTGGTAGAGGTCTCGCCAGATGCTGGCATCTTGATGGAAAGGAGATCAATAGTTCCAGAGTCAGCTTCGGAGTTGTACTACTACTACCAGACCAAGAAGAATGATATATATCTATCATCAACAGCCCGTTGATCAGGCTGAGGATGGACGAGCTCTACCTGAGATTGGCTAAAAAGTGTCTTAAATAAATATGTAAATAGTACCTTCACCACTGTGCAGGTTTGAAGAACAATTCCCATTCGGATTCCGACGACGTGTGCTCATCGAGTATGGCTGAAGCCGAACATTGATCTAGTTAAGTGTGTGCTCCCTTGTTGAGTGTTTGTCTGATGGTTCCTTGAACTTCCGATTGGTTCCGAAAGCTGAAGAACTCGACGAGCTTGGCTGGTTGCTTCCTGCAGTGTATGTAGTCTGGTCGTCAGCAGGAGGGAAAATTAAAAAAAAAAAAATTAGAAAATTAAAATCAAGTCAGTCACATCGAGGCCTACAAACAAACAACCCTCTGATCTCCTTCTCATCAGCTTCTCACTCAATCCAGCTGCTCACATGCACAAGAATAGTCATCTTTACATTTGGCATCCTCAAAAGGAGGGTGGAGATTGCCCATGCATCTCAAAGCTCTCTAATAAAACAAATATATGTAAAAAACCCCATGCCAGTGGACAAGAAAATCCAAATAGTGAACCAGATCTGTGCATCCAACAGGATACCACAGGCCAAGAATCCATCAGTTTGTGGCCAGGCATCCTCCTTTGATCCCCCCCCCCCCTACTGCATCTACCCGATCCCCCGGGGGTGTTGAGTCGAGTACCCGAACACCGGGCGCTTTTGGAGAGGATTGTCACCCCGAAACCAATTTTGAATTTTCCAGGAACACCTGTGACCACATCAAACATAAGCCACAGCTCTCCACATCTGGATCCCATGCCCAACCTCAACCTCACCGCCATCGTCGCATCGCTCAGATGCTTGCTCTCACCTAGCTCCTTGGTACCTTCCCTGCATGTGCGAGGTCTATATACAGTCTCTCCCTTATCATGCCCTTCGAAATCTGGAAATGGAAAAATATTGGGACGTCGATTGAGGTTGCTGATTGTTTCTCTCTTTTTTTGGAGTGATCAGATATACGTTGTGTCGATTGGAAGGAACTCAAAGGGAAAGGATACATTGGCGTAGTGATCGACAAGGACAACTGTATCGTTTGAGTGATCTGGTCATCTTGATTCCTGCCTACAATTCAAACATGTTGAATAACTTACCTTTGGCATCTCTCTCTTTTACCTTTTTGATTTGAAGACCAAGCCATACCACGATCAACTGGTTCCAGAATTACAGCACGCCTGGCAGTCCTGTCTTGCCACCTTTGGTAACCTGGGTGTTCTACTTGTTAGTAACTCTGCGGGGACGGCCGACGACCCGGCGCTGATCCAGGCAAGTCTTTTCTATTGGTGACGTACTTGTGCTGCATTCTCGGTACAATCTCACTGATGTTTTTTTTTATTTCAACACTTTAGGCCGAATCTGTTGCTCGTCATCTCGGCGTACCCGTCTTGGTTCATGCGACCAAAAAACCTGGCCAGCAAGTCGTCAAAGCGATCGAGAAATACTTTACGAAAGACTATCGACTCGTGCCTGTGATTTATCCTTCCCGCCGGTCGAGTTGTGGGCCGCCGGTTTCCTCTCGATGCCACTCTAATCGGACACCGTTGAAGTTAGTCGTCATCGGAGACCGAGTGACGACCGATATCATCTTAGCCTCCCGCTTACGAAGCCATCTACAGAGAAATCAATCCACTCCGACTTCGTCATCTCTAACCGATTCGAATCCGATTTTTTCGGTACTCACTCAGGAAATATGGCAGAAAGAGAAACCTGGCACTCGGTTCATGAGATGGGCTGAAAATCGAGCCTTGAAACTCGTCATGCAGTCCTCCACTCGAAGCTCAACACTCATTGGAGGGCAATCATCTTCTCCCTCATCAAGACTTCCCAACCTCATGGCGTTTCCAAAACAACTCTCCATAACATTCGAGCAATCCCTGTCTTCTTCTTCGCAGGCCTTCTCAAAGGCTCAGCAAGCCAAGGAACATCTGCAGAAGAAATATGATTCAATTTCTGTCAAGCTGAAACAGATAAGCGAAGAGCCGCTCTCGACGATCATCCGAAGCGTTTTAGTCAACATACAAGATAGGCTAGCCAATCAACTGGCTCAGCTGTTGACCGGCCTCGGACGGAGATGGATCGAATTCAAGACTACTCTCCAACAACACCTAATCAGAATACTCGAAAACTTGAAAACCAAGGCACTTCGAGCGCTCATCCAATCAGCAAACAAACTTCAACTCAAGCTCAAACCATTCAACCTGTTTGATCCTGCATCACTAGGCTTCAAGACCCCACTGTTCATCCAAAACTTGTCCAAATGGAAACAGCTGAAATAATCGATTCAACATGTGTACTTCTCTCTCACATCTTCCAATTCTCATGGTGCATCCAACGAAAACTGTTCTCTTGGAAACCTCAAGAAGCTTTGGCATGTTTGTGATTCATGTGACCCTCTGTTGGTAGATCTATAAGTATATCCTCAAACGCTCTTCTCGGCCTGTCAAGTATTTTGATCCGCTGGTTATTGTTCGCTTCCTGTATTGCATAAGTCCCATATCCCATCTCTGATCAGTTGACTGAAATCTAAGTTATATCCATTCCTAACACAGACTTGTTGCTGGTTTGATTGGTCTTTCATGTGGATGATAGTCCGTTTGTGTGGCTTTTGAGGAGGTTGGCCTGGGTAACATGTTGGGAAACAAGAATTCTTCAGGCATAATTTTTTACTCTTGTCAGTCAGATGGCAACACATTGCTACACTTTTTGCCCAAAAAGCATTAGCATTGTGCGCAAAGGCACAAATTGTGTAGTGTTAGTGCACCATTAGCGAATTGTTGTTACACTGTGCTGTGCTATGGGCTGGTACTGGGCCAAAAAGCCCCTCACCAGCATGTTACTGCAGTGTATTGGGCCCTTTGTTTGGGGCCTGTGGGGGTAGTGTTAGCACAAATGTGGTGGAATTCCACTAGGATACATTAGATTTTAGCAGAATTCTCCTACTTTACCCCACGTCAGCATACGTGGCCCACCCTTTCCTCATGTCTGTTGAATTATACTTGAGTAAAACACATTGGTTGTAATCTAGGGCTCTGCATATCCAGTATGTACACTCTACATCCTAAAACTTTCCCAAGATACTCACGTCAGCTTACTCAATTGAAAGTTGAAACATCTAAAATCCTGACAGAGACTGTCAAAAGTTCCATGAAGTAGGGCAAAAAAGTGGTTGAATTTGTTAATAATTTGTTCTACATACTGTGTAGAGACTCGAGATCCTTGAAAATTTCTTGGCTGTGATTTGTATCATTCACTTGTGGTTGTTAGAGCAACTTGTAGATACAGAACCAAGACACATTCTGTCTTAGAACTAGAGATGGCCTTGGGGTATCCGTTGTGGATACCCCCTATCCACTGTTGGATACCTGCCATTGCCAACGGATACCCGCCAGAGGATTTGGATTTGGATGTGGATGCTTGATTTTCCTCCAAATCATGGATCAGACGGACCCTCTTGGCCTGGGCACCGTCTCGAGGTCAACAAGGCAGATGTATCTTGTCAACTGGAAGGAAAACCTTTCGGCCAACAAGGCAAATGTACCTCGCTGGCCGGAAGGAAACCCTTCTGTTCAATTGTCAGCCGCCCCCTCCAACCACCCTCAATTTAAGGGGCGGGTATTCAAAGATACCCTCTTGGATATCCGCTAAGTTGGGGGGATACCCGCCAGCGGATGCAGATGCGGGTGCAGATGGCAGTTTCCCTGGAAAAAGCAGCCCAATATCCGGATGCGCCAGGGCCATCTCTACTTAGAACAAATGGAGTTGTGTTGATGACACAGACAAAGAAAAAGTAAGATCTGATCACAGAGGAAGCTATCATTCAAACAATTCCTCTGATAGCTGGGTTCACAATAAGCTCTTGTGCAGAGGATATTAAAGAGGGTTGAGATTCTATAGTTGTTGTGTACTTCTTTTCTCTCCCTGTCACATCATCATCACTCCTTTTCTCATCTGTCACTCACTGTCTCCCAGTTCCAGATGAATATCTCTCTTTCACCTTCTGTCTCACAACTCAGCACACATTTGTATGTAGATGAATAGTCAGACTCATACGTAAGAGTTAAGAGATGAAAGACATCTGTTCTTCTGCACCTGAACCCTGGGGTCTATAACAGATACAACCTTTTCTAGCATGTGTGCTTTTCCACCACACAAACTAGCAGACTTAGCCCCCTTTGAGGGCCCCAAGACCATTTTTTTCTCCCTCAGAGCTTTTTCCTCAAGGTTTTCCATCACCCAGTCTCTTCCCCCTTCTCTCAGCAAAAAACTATAGTTTCTTCAAAGAGTCTTGGTGTTTTTGAGCACTTGATGGGAGGCTTGAATTGTAGCTTAGATCAAACTAGATTTATAATGGATCAAGGAAAGAGTTTGCTCAGTTTGAGCCTTAATTGGCGCTCGAGGACCCTTGAACTTGAAGCTTTCTGAGCTCAGGAAGGTTTAGAATTAGAGGTTCTTGAGTAGAACTTCTGAGCTTAATTTAAGGATGAAAGTAAGCTCATAATTTCCTAATCCAGAAAGAATTTAAGCTGGATTCAGGAAGCGATAAGCTTATTGTGAACCCTGCTAATGAGACACACAAAATACTTAGACTTATCTTGAGGCAAGTTTGTGCCATGGTATCAGGAATGGCTTGTAGATCAAATTATAATGTGTATTTCTCTACCATTGGTCTCACAACAAGGGTTTTTCTACCAGTGATACTGATAGAAAGGAATTGAAAATTCAAAAGACTGTATTGTTCCTTTCAATTTCATATTTTCTCTGCTCATGACTAAGTCTAACAATTATGTTATAATTTTAGTCTTCAGATTGACAATTCATATCTTGGATTAGTCTAAAGAAGTTTCCTAACATAAATTTTTGAATCCAAGCCTAATATTTCATTCATCTTCTTTGTGGATTCTTAATCAAACTCACTAATTAAAGCGTGCACAAAATGGCTTGTTCTGGAATTTGTCAAGATTGTAAATTAACCTGGGAACTGTTTTCTCTGCTCAATATCATAGTTCTTCCCCATTTTATAGGATTGCAGGATACTTTCAAGAAGTCGACTAATTTAAATTGACATGGTGAAATAATACTTGGATTGGAGTTTGGCTGGGGACAATGAATAGTGGAGAAATCATCTCTAGTTTGAATTTTCAAATATCTATCTCTTTATCAAGACCCTTAGTCAGGAATCAATTTAACTAGAAATATCAATCGAATTTTAAATCACAATTCCCTTTTCTGTTTTACAAATTCGATTGCTGAATGCTTTTCAGGGCACCCCATTTAACATAAAGAAATTAAATTATGCCTTCGCCATGTATATCTCCAGAAAGCTTTGGTGGTTTCCCAGGGCTGTAAGAGTGATTTTGTCTATTTCCCCGCGATAGAGGACTCTTTTCCATACGACCTTTGCAGCATCAATATCGTGTATAATATATATGGCATCCTTGGTGGTGGAACGGTTCCACAGGTACAAGGCGTCCCTATTTTGGGTGAATTGAGCTGCTACATCCACGTCTTTTTGGTTCAGCCAGAATTGACTTTGTTTACCGTATCGTTCAATCATATCCGGGATCTGGAAAGGTAAATCCAGTTGGGTGGTGCCCTTCAAGTAGAACCTTTGCTTCTCCAGCCACCCTGGACTATCGTTCTGGCCTGAAAAACCTCCCAGGGGTTGGACTGCGCTTGTGATGAAGTCAGGAATGCTTTCAAGCTTCATAAGTGAAGTTTAGTACTCACCAAACTCTTTAAATTCGAACTTGTTGGGAATTATGTTGGAATCACCAAGCAAAAACGAAGACAAATCATGAAAGCGTAAGTGGTCCTCATTTTGCTGATGTGTTACTGCTTTTGATCTGTGCAACTGAGTTAAAAAATCGATTGTGGAATAGAAAGAGCATATATAAGTACAAGCCGCAGTCGATTCTTCAGGCAATCTTGAAAGTGGATCAAAAGCGAGTGGTGATCACACAAGGCACTTTTGAAGATGAGCTATCATGTCGAGCTGACTTACTGATTCCCAAAGCAAATCAGTAGGAAAATATTGAGAGTTGATCACCCCAGAGCTGCATGAAGATTGTTTGGTGAGGTAACGCGGCAATGGACGAGGAAAGAATGCAAGGTGACTTCGAGGAGACGCCTTCTTGATAGTGTGAATTTTGCCACCTTGTGATGATTGTTGCAGAACCCTCGCGCGTGTGTTGGACGGGCGACCATTCCTCTGGCCATTGGACATGCTGCTTGGCAGGAGGCAGATGTTTGGTTCTGAGTTTCTTGTAATTTCTTCCAACAGAGACGAGTCACATCGTCACATGTCTTTCAGTAGGGAGGCTAATGAAATCACTACTAAGAGTTTCTCAATTTTTTCAAATCAGAGAATTGATATCTCGAAAGAGATCGATATCAATCAGTTTATCAAACCTGGGGATTTGATCAAATGGCCAGTGCAAGTCTGATAGCACCCTCTGGCATACATACGCGGAGCTCGAAGAGGTTTTAACCCTTAGGTTTCCCGAGATTTCTACGGGCAGAGACATGTCAGATCTGTACCATATCGCTTTGCACGCGCACGACGTTTGTTGTACCAGCTCAAGTGGAATTCTTATGTATGTATCAAGCAGAAAAATGTCGGATGAGATCGAGACTAGAGCAAGAGACCTGCACGTTCTCTTGTTGCTTTGCGCGCCGCCAAGAAGAAAATGTAATCGTTGTTGGCGGTGGGCTCCCAAGGAGCTGTCTCCTGAAACAGATCGATGGTCTCAAGAAGCTACATATGACTGACAGGTTGCAGCAATTGAGCGACCCTATAGTCCGTCTGTGTGATTATCAGGCGCTAAAATTCATCTTTGTAGGATTCTGTAGATCATGAAAACCTGTTGGAAGTCAATTTTTATGAGTTGAATCTTGCATTGGGACAATCATTTATCTGACTAATTCCTGAACTTATGATAGACCTCAAAAATATTGAAGAATTTTGGACGGAGGATTTTCTTTCTATCACACTATCTTTCACATGCAGTGATATTATAGATATCCAAGTGTACAAGAGGAATTTTTACAGAGTAAAAAGGATCTCAAATAACGACAACGAAAAATAAATAAATAACACAGTGCGATCACGCCACGACGGCCAAAAGACCAACTGAGAGGAAGGCAGTCATAAGTTCGAATGTGCCTTGCGAGATCGGAACTGGGGCAGATTCCGACTATGGTAGGCATTTTCCGAAACGACGAAAGGATTCATTAGTGAACAGAAACAACAACAAAAATATGCTTCAAAGGACAGATGAACAGGAAAAAGCTTACGGCTTTCTTGTCGGCAGCGTTCGCGCCAGTTGCATTCTTGTAGTTGTTCTTCAGGTTCTTCATAGCAGTACCAATCCCGCCCAAGGTCGCATTTTCAGGCTTGAGCGAGGTTGTCGCAGGGGGGGCGGTGGTAGTGGATGTGGGGCTATCGAGCTCAGGTTCCAGAGCTGAGGAGTGGGCTTCGCCAGCGGCCTGAGAAGTAGGAGGGGTCTGAGCAGCAGGAGGGGTTTGAGCAGTAGGAGGGGTCTGAGGAGGTAGAAGGGATTAGAATCAGACGTCGGCCAAAATCATTCAAAAATCCAAGGTACTCACTCTAGTAGTCGGGGTTGCTGAACCAGTTTGAGGTGAAGCACTAGCCTGGGCTATAAGAGAGGCTACCATTAGGCAGGTGATGGAGCACGTCCCAGAAAGCATCTTGAATATATTAGTTGAGAGGAGGCGGGTCGCGTTCGGAAAAAAAAGCTTGATCAAAATGCAAATAGCAGGGGCTTGTAGAGGAACTGATTTATATGAATGACCAAAGTATAAACGCCGGCGTTTGTTAAGAAAAGGCTTCGATAAAATATAAAGGTTGATGAGCTTTGATTTTGCTTTTGAAGTCAATTCAAAAACCAAATGGCAAAGAAACTGTACTATTTATATAAGTTGATGATAAGGATGATGATGATGATGATGAATGAAGTGGATGGGGAAACGAAGATTGGGGATGAAGAGTTGGGGCTCTTTATAATGTTCCTTGATTTCCAAATAAGCAATCATCTTGACTGAGACACTACTTGGAAGAGCTTTCGAGAGATCAGGCTACGACATACTTGGCGTTGTCGACTGGTACAATGATAGCCCCCCGGCTAGATCGGACCCAGCTTCTGTTGGAACGTTCTTCTTGCCATTGCCAGGCGAGCAACAAGGCATCCGGAATTGGCTTTGCAGCAAGATGCCCGGTCAGCTTGTAGGTAACTACCAGTACCACCTTCAGCCTCAGGCTTCATCTTGAGCTGAGCCTGCACTCGAGAGTCGGATGGTTGATTACAACTCATCTTCAGCTGCTTGTACATTTATGTCATTGGACTGAAATTCTGAATGACTTGTGAGATCTTTATGTGTATTCGAAAACTGGACTCTTCCGGCGTCTACAAGGCCTTGCCTCACCTGGTCCTAGGGAATCTTGAGACAGACGCGAACCGACGCGACAAGCTCGACGCAGGCATGAGACTTTTGATTTTCTTGGTACACGATCAGAACTATTTTTATCGATAGTTTGACACTCAAAAAGTAGTAAAGCAATGGTGAGGAGGCGCGCAATGGGTGAGCTACTGCAAGGTGCCTTACTCGCTGCGAACAAACAACAGGTGGGACCTCCTTCAGCAGGGAGTTTGCAGAGACTGTGTCAATTTCGTACTCGCGGTCACCTTATCAGTTGGCCGCGTTCAGGAGGACTAATGAGAGTATCGTTTAGCGTGACGCGAAACGGCTTCTTGCAGAGCGAACCTCTTCAAGGCCATCTGTGCGATGGGTCATCTCAAACTCATGGAGAGACGTTGGAGTATACCGACGATAAGCTCCGACTTGAGCTTCAAATCGGACGATGTGGCACCCAGTTTTTGTTTTTCTCCTGTCATCATTCAATGATTTGACTTGTTTTGTTTTATCCATGGATATACATAAATACTATCCCTCAAAACAAAAATAATAGGGGTGAACCAAGATAGTAAGCTGTTACCAGGAACCCGGGAGAATATGTGAGATATGAGCCTTCGTTGCAAACGTGCTATACACTCAAGAAACTGACTCATGGAGCCTGGAGTTTTTTACGCTCTGGTGACTGTGAGCGTCGGCCGGCCTGGCCCCATATGATTTTCTGTGTTGAGTTCGGCGTAATTCGACGCAGTCGGTGTGATGTGAGCCAGGGGATAAAAACCCATGACCTGGACTCTTAAACTTTTCTCTGTTCCACCAGTCTTCTATGAGAGTAATGTGAGCAGCTTAACTAACACACACCCGGCCTGTTTATGGCTTTCAAGGAGATTAATAAATATGAGTCTCTTGTTTATTTATTGATTTATGCATGTATGGCAACATCTTCCTGATTCTGGCTTCATCATTCCATGCTTAGTGCCCAGTTTCACTGCTCAATCAGTGCTCAATGCTGTCGGGGCGTGGGTAGCCTATGGGCGCCCGAGCCCATTGACAGCCACAGGGCCCATGATGAGAGGGTGCCTGAGTCGGTGGGTGAGCCTCCCCGGGGACTCCCCGCCCACCGAGGGATGATCTAGGTTTTACTCTCCCAGCTGTACGGCTTCACAGCAAACTTCAAACCACCAAGAACCACGACAAACAGCAAAGATGACACAAGATAACTCATTCTCAACTGCTTCATCATCCTCATCCCAATCAGCAACATCAACAACATCAACAACATCAACATCATCATCAACCGATTCATCATCAAACTCATCAAGCTCATCAACCCAGCAGAACCAACTCATCCACAAGATCATCTACTCTGTAAGTCACATCATCCACCATTTATGTAGATTGCCATTTATCAAAACTGAAACATCCCCTGAATCTTTTTCATTTATAGGCCGGTCTGGACCATCAATCTAACCCACTACTTGTCATCTCAGCCTCGAGCTTCCCAGCCAAACTGCCTGCACATCTCGACTTTGACTCACTCACTCAACAAGCACTCAACAAATTCTCGCCCATCATTTCAAACGGACCTTACTCACTCATCATATTCGCCTCACCCGCCGAACATGCACCAACAGTCAAGCAGATCCTACTCTCCTACAGATTACTCAGTCGGCCCATCAGAAAGAATCTCAGTACACTCTGGGTCGTGCATCCCACCTTTTGGGCTAAGACGACTGTACAGGTCCTCCTCAAGACTATCGTCAGCTGGAAGATGTCTCGAAAAATCAAATGGATCAAGGATCTTTCGACACTTGCAAGTCTAGTACCCATCCATCAGTTCAGTTTCAATATCACTTGTTCAGTTTCAATATCACTTATCAAAAGAAAAAAGAGAAAATCAAGTCTAATGATGACCTATTTCATTAAACACAGAGTTTGCATCCCTCCAGAGGTCTACAAGTATGATCTGATCATCGAACCATCCATCGTCGTTCCACCCTCCTCTCGCAAACCTCCAGTGTTTAAAGTTTCCTTAGAGGAAATGATGGGATCAGATGGCCAGGATGGGATTCCTCAAGTCATTCAAGATTGCGCGAACTGTATCAGATCATCGGGTGAGTAGACCCATCGTTGTTATCAACAGAAAAAGAAAGAAAAAAAAAATACTAAGCCATCGTTCAAAAAAAAAAGCAATGAAATGCGAGGGACTCTTCCGTAGACCACCTTCTCTCACCACCACTCAAATCATCAGGGATGCCTACGACCGACGACAACCAGTTAAGATGGAAGATTACTCAGACGGGCCCTTTCTAGCAGCCTCGTTAATTAAGCTGTTTCTTCGAGAGCTACCAGAACCAATCTTTTCGGCCGACTTCTATCCTCTTTTCAGAGCCTGCCCCTCGATCTTTGCCCAACCTATCATCATCTCTCATCAAGATCAATCATCCCTCAATACCCACAACCAAGCCGTACTCGAGTATCTCCAGGAACAGGTCCTCAAGAGTTTGAAACCAAAATCGGCCTACATCTTGTTTGATTACGTCCTCAAACTCTGCCACGACTTGGCTCTTCAATCAGGTTATTATTTTCCCTTGTACTTAACTTACGTCCTTTCTGATTCTCATGCTTGACTTGAACGTTCTCTATCTCAGAACATAACAAGATGGATTCTCATAACCTGGCCACCTGTTTGGCTCCCACCATGATCAGATCATCCGACTTGATCTCCGACGCCATGATGTGCAAGTTACCGAGCCCGTCATCAATGAGGGATTCCCCCGACCTGGGCAACCAAGACACCAACGAACCTACCAGTTTCACTTCTATTTTGAAATTCATGATTTCTTGGTGCGTTTTTCCCCACCACGTGTTCTTGAGACGCTCACAATTCAATTCAAAGCATGTTGAGACTTAATAAATTCTCTCAAAACACATCAGTTACCCGCTACTGTTCGACGAGCCACAGGAGCCTGCCAGCCCGGTTTGTTCGAGTATAAGTAGTTCGCCGATGTTCAAAGGTGGTCACTTGACTATGGACCCCTTGCAATCCTCCTTTGGACAACCGCCTTTGGAAATCCTACCAGCGGCCGATGATCCGAGCAGTCTGTTACAGAAACTGTTCACCGTCCGACGGACGGTGGACACCTACCTTCCTCTGCGATGCACGATCTCCCACGTCGGGCTCTCCCATGCCTTCTCATTCGCCGACAGACCTCGCAGTCGTCTCCTCCAGGCCCCCAGCTCGGTCGGCTGTACGGAATCGAGTCGCGACCAGAAACCCAAGTTCGCCACCCTCCAGGCTGCCAAGACCAAGAATTCCCTTGGTTATCCCTTGCTCTCCAACGCCTTCCTCGCCCTTCCCCCTCCTCTCTCGCCCTCCTGCTCCTCTGAGTCTTCCAACTTCTTCTCCTCCACTTCTGTGACTACTACCACCACCGCTGCCAGTCATCTTCAATCAGTCCCCACCTTGACTCATCCTCCTTCATCAGATCATCATCACCGTCAGTTCACTCACTCGTCTGATTTGAACGAACTCGATTAACTCTTTTTTTGTCTGTGTTTTTTTTTTGCTGTGTCCTTCTCTCTCATCTCTTTATATTTTTTGGTTTGATCTACCCATATTCTTCGGCTTTTTTTGAATTCCTTCTCTTTCAGACACTCTCATTCATACCGGTTGACTCAAATTCATTTCGTCCTATTTCCTATTCGGACATTTTCTTTCACACACAACATACGGATGATATACTCCTTTGACTTTTTTTTTTCTTCGGACACTCTCTTTCAATCATTCTGATCTTCTTTCATTCTCTTTCTTTCGAGCGGGACAGACTTTTTCTATTATATGCGTGTCGTAAGATCTGAAAACGGACAGACAGACATTCAACACCTGATAATCTTCTTCTTTTTTCTCTTCTCCATCCTTGCATTCTATCATTGTACCACCACAACCAGCCTGGATAACTGACTGTACCATGATACTCATACTTTAATAGGCTCATACATATGTACATATTTCTTTTTGTTGTTGTCATTACATATCACTCTTGGATCGCTCTTCTTTTTGATTTTTTTTGAGGTATCTTCAATCGGG